TTCATATTCATGGCAACTTATGGAGAGAACCAAAAATTACACATGCATTCGTATAACACACATAATGATGAGAGACAGCACAACAGCAGTACTACTGTTGCCATCAAGAAACGAAACATGACACATTCACACACACACACGAACATGATTCAGTCCATTCGCTCGTCGTGACAAACTTTTGCAAGATATTTCTTATTTTTTGCTTTATTTATGATTATGGATTTTTCTTCGTTCTTTTTCATCATTAACAAACTTGCCACTGTGCACATTTCGGATCTCTCGACAAAGTTTTTTCTTGTTTACAAACAAAACGATTGCATTTGAAATTGGAGAAGAAAAAAAGAACAGAAAAACTGAGATAAAAACGGGAATTTTGAATTTATTTCCCTTCCACAAAGATTTGTACATTTCTCGAAAAGGTTTACTATTGCAGTGCACGATAGTTATCCCCATATAATATTGGGAATGTATATAATTTGGAAAAATGGCGTTCGACCATGGATAATTAATGCATATTTCGTTCAATGAATTCATTTGAAATGGATTTCGTGTGTAACATCCGGAAAAAAGAACGGCCAATTTCACAAATTTATTCAAATAATTGAATTAAGTTGCAAACACAGTTCTGTAATTCAATTAATATGTATTCGCTTCTATTCTAATGGTGATGCCACATAGAACATAAATAGAAGGATTAAAGTTGGCATACGATCGGCCAACGAGTGAATGAAAAGTGTTGTAAAACCACTTGTTGATGGTTCAATGTAGAGAAGCGAACTTTTCTTTCTTTAACACCCGCTTCATCATTCATTATATGGCAAAGTCGAAAGTGTCTTGTCTACATATTTCTCGCTTCCATTCGATAGTTATAAAAGAAAAGAAGTTTCAAGAAGATGTTTCCGTTGAGCGAAATGATGTTGATGTGTTCTATATGTTGACGTAAAGAAAAGAGATAGACAAAATACTAAGCGCGAACAAAGAAAGCGGAAAATCAGCAAAACTCAGTCAATGATTGAATTAAATACATGATGCCATTCGAATTATGCACATCACATACCGAGGCGCGTTCATTTATCGTTCGTATCATTTATCGGGCATTCGCTCATACGATATGATGTTTACAATGATACGAATGAATGAGAGGATTCCAGCTCAAGCGATATTACTAAGTGCAAACGGAGTGGCTAGACGGAACAATGAACGAACGTAACATAAAAAAATTGATGTTCGCCATTGCGTCGCGACTGACTGGCGCTTTTCATTAATAAATGATAGACAATCATAACGCTGCTTGGATCCAACTTCATTGAAATGAATACTACGCCTAATGCAGACAAACAAACTATCCCAAATGGCTGCATGGGATACAGCATCACACAATGGGTATTTGGCACGAAATGGTACAAACATTTCAGGCAACCACTTTACATCGATGAACTGCGTATTTCACGATCTCTTGCTCGACATTTTTCAAATGCAAAGGACAAAGCTGCTTAGTCACTTGCCAACGCTCGTCGAGTTGGGAAAGTGCACAGAACTATTTGAGAAGCGTGAACACAATACAAAATCAGAAGCAAAAGATGACGATGAAAAAACAAAATGGAAAATCACGAACAACCCGAAACACACTTCGACTGTGCATGGGAAGAGAAAAATCAAAAGAGAAATAAAAAAGAATCGAAACGAAAGAACTTTGCTTGTTTAAGAGTGCTGAAACAATAAAAGTTCACCGGTCGTCGTTGCTTTAGCTCTTTTTAAATGATCCGCTTTTTTTAACCATTAAACTTTTTCACTTATTTAATATTGTCTACGAGTTTTCATCATTGTCCAAACGCCAAACCGTTTAATATCCAATATTATTCCAAAAACATCTTTTGACTCACCATTTTTTTTTTTCAAAGCGTACAGTCAGGCGTCCTTTTTCATCGATAAAATGCTTTTAAATTGCGGCAGTTTTTTTCCATTGCAAACGAATGAATGAATCTGTTTTATTTTCATAACGCGTTTTTCGATGACTCTCTGTCTCTCTTTATTGAAGTCATTTAAAGTCAAAACAATAAATGAAGTTTTCAAGGATGCTTAGCACGAAACATTGCACATTCTCCATGGCAGAAATGATGATTGCCAACAATTTTCTATCCTCATAAACGTTGCGGACTTTATTTTGTTTTCGGTGTATATCATTGGTCTTAATGACGCTGCTTTTTTAGTCAAAACCAAATGAAATTAACCAGAATACAGTTCATGGTCTGTGAGCTTAGGAATTTTCATTTCGAACAAAACCCGTCCATTGATCATTGATGCCAGTTGTTATTATACCAACAATTGAAAGAGAATTCAATGGATTTCTTTTTTTTACCAATTGAAAAGACATTTTTTTTTCAAATATCTGTTGAATTTTTGGCATCTCTTGCGATATTGATCGATTTCTGCAATTTTATTTTCATAATTTTTTTAGACTTTTTTTTTTGAGAAAAGAACCCTACAAAATCTTTCCTTAACACATATTTTACTCTCCGCTCCGTTGCATTTTTTGATATTTTGCAGAAAATATGTAGCCAAAACTGGACAAGCAACACTTTACTGACTTTGAGCACCAAGCATGTTAAGCCAAGAAAAATACTATTGATTATCTTTATCAAACGTCGAACAAATTTATAGCAATAAATAAGCGCATTTAGTTGTCGGGAGATTTGTGTCTCAAAATCGAATGAAATGCAGCAATAATTAATCGTGTAGACGATATGTTTCGCTGCTTATGGCAATTTGCTACCAGTGAAAGGGAGTCGAAGATAACTAAACAAATGACGAATAATATCGAAATCGACATAAATTATGGACCTTTTTTCCAATAGAAGAATTAATCGAGAAATAAATTGCACACCAGACAAGGAGCTTTCAAGTTTATCAAAAAGCAATTTGCAAAGGAAGCGATATTGAATGAGCATTTAATAATGGATAGATTATTTCCAAGAGCAATAAAATACAGATAATTAAATTCGTTTAAAGAGTATGTTCACCTTGAAATCTTGTACGTGGACAATTTCCTTTTCTCATACTAATTTCCTTCATTTGAAAAAACATTTATTTCAATTCAAAAACAGTAGAATTTCAAAACAGTTTTAACTTATAGGTGTTCAAATGTCGATCGTAGATAATTTACAAACATTTGAAGTTTGAATTTTTCAAATTTATCAAAAAAACTTTTAAGTTTTCTGTCGAAAAGTTTTGTTCACATTTGAAATGTCCTCATATCATTTGCAATTAAAAATGCAACGATTGATACGGAAGATAAATTCAAAGACATTCGAATCGAGTATAAAATATTCTTCAAGTTAACTTTTGTTGACCAATTTAAAAGACAAAATTTTGTTTCGGTATTTGGCCAGTGGTCGAAATAAATGAATCAAATATATTAGTTTTTAGGTAATTAAAATAGTTTTATGAATGTTATTCCATTATTCAAAAACCAAAATCTAGAGTCGAACATATGCAAGTGAATTTCAAGGGGCATCATTATTTATTACTTTTAGTTATGATACATAGGATACCTTGGTCTGTTTTTTTAATATAGTTCTACTCTTGATGGAATGTCTTACATTTTCGAAAAGAAAGTTTTTCTAATTATTTTGTTATTGAGTGAATACTCAACGAAATTAAATATTGGAATGTGCGTTGGTTCTTTGCTTGGTCTCCTTTAAAAGGATGTGAAATACACACCAACTCTTCAGTTGTAATCAGAAATTGAAAGTGAACGTTCACAATGAAATCAACCGATTTATTGAAACGATATTTGCGTATACTTGGAGTGTTACCTCTAGTCATCTCAAAGCGCGGATGGAATTTAAACATTGTTGTTATTCTTTTCTTCTACACATCCTGCCTTCTGACAATATTGTCATTTTTTCGTTTTATCGCATACGATGCTCAAATATTCAGAGAATATGTCGAGTGTTTTTATTACGTGATGCATGATTCTGTGATGCTGTCTTGGTACACCGTGTATTTGATGCAACGCAAAAATTATGCATTCCTTGTCACTGAATTGGACACAATTGTTAAGAGAAGTACGGTAAATTATTTTCTGTTTTTGGATCCAAAAATAAATGTCAATTTTTTTTCTTTGAAAAAGGAGCTTCGAATCTATTGACCAAAACGATGTACGAAGAAATGGATAGTAAAGTTGAAAACTTGATAAAAGCATCGCATATAGCAGTGGTTAATGTTTTGTCACCACTTTTTATGTTTCCAACAATTATACCTTCTCTTATAAAATATTCGTTGTACCATACCGAAGATTCGTTGAAATTGATCTATCCGGGCAGTTATCCATATAACCATAAAGTGTTATGGGGTTATTTATTAAGTGCAACAATGCAAGTGATAACGACAATGATATCGGCGATATTTTTCGTTTCAACATTTTCGTTGACGGTTGGACTTTGTCAATTTGTGGCCGCATTTATTACGGACGTTGAAATACACATAAAACAAATGAATGAAACACTTCGCGGCGAAGGAAATGTTGACATGACCATGAACAAGAAAATCGCAATGAAGAAAAATGTCAGCGCAATTATACAATTTTATTTGGAGGCTAAAGAGTGGGTGTTCAACTTTCGTATGTAGTATAGAAAACAATATTAATTTTAACATTATCTTTTTGTTCGCATTTAGTTTTACGAATCGATTTACAGACGCGCATAGTGGCATTATTTTTGCATATCTTGGATTTACTGTGGTTTCTTTTTGTCTATTGTTTGTGCAAATGCGGGCTGTAATTGAAAGTTAATAATTTTTCCGAAATTCCAGATATCAATCGTGTCTTTTTTTTCATTTCAGTCACTTGTCGCCTTTGATATTTTAAGCATTATGCAAATTTTGTCAAATTTATGCTTGATTTTGATCTGGCTATTCTTTTTCTGTTATTATGGAACGTATATCACACAAAGATTCGAAGATGGTGCCGTTGGTGGTTATGATATCACATGGTATGTTCTGCCAATAAATGTTCAAAAAGATTTTCCATTATTCATTGCTATGGCTCAAAACGAAATCTATCTTCGTGGAAAAGCTGGAACAAAAGCTTCCTTGGAAGTTTTCATGTCGGTAAGTAGTATACGGAACATATATCATTTGTTTTACCTAATACTTTGTACTATCTTCATTTTGCATTTATAGATTATGAGGTAAGTTGAAAAAGTTTCTCTATATCGTAATTTAATTACAAGAATAATAATATGTTTTTTTTCATTGTCTTTGTCTATTTTTGTCAATTCATCAAAAAGCCGAACCTTCAGTTATGTGACTGTCCTCAAAGAGTTCTATTAATGACACAAGCAAATAATACAATTTATTGAATTTGTAATACAATTTATTTTGCAATGTAATTCTACTTGGTGAAAAAAATAAAGAATTTGGGTGTAAAAAAGACAGTCGGTTCTTAATGAATATTTTTTGTGTAATTAACTTTAACTGGTGTAACTATATTTTTTTCGTTGAAAACACGTTTTTGAAATACGAATTTCCTTCTATGTTGACCATAAATTATATTTTATGTTTATAACACATTTTTTGATGGACTATGGCCTAAGCATTTATGTCACTCATTCCAGAGCAGAACATTAAATGACCACTTTAATAGTATTCACTTTGGTAATAATATTCAGCATATTATGCATATTTAAAAAAGGACCATTCCCAACAGTTCCATCATCATAAACATTGAACGCTTTCTTTGGTTCATTTTATACAGCTTTTTTTTAACGGACACCACACTTTTTTGGTATAATATAAAAAAAAAATAAAAAAAATGTACTCACAAATCCTTCAAAGAGGATTGAAGCCACAGCCAATCCGTAAAAAAAATCATCGCTTCTCAATCTTGGAAAAAGAAAAATTTCATAAATGTTCTGCGATCTAACTAGCAAGAACTTCTGATGACTTCAATGTTTTTAACAATGTCTTTTATTCACACTTTTTTATATTTCGGAATTTATATTTTATAAAAAAAATATTTACTCAGTTTGATATTTAAATAATTTTGACGAAAACCATACCATTTTCACGTCAACATCAATTAAAAATTAAACCTGTTAATTTTTTCGATTTTTTTCAAACACGTGGAATTTGAAAACAGTTTTTATAGACAGAAAAAAACAGATATTTATTAGACTGAGGTATTAATTTTTCAGCAATATAGCTGTCATAGCTGTGGAAGAAGGACGTCAATTTTTCATATAACGAGTGAGTTAGCTCATTTTTATGTTGGAACCAATAAAAAATGTATAAAATCACTGGCTAACTTTTTGGCATTGTTCTTTCTATTACTAAATAATTGAGGTCGTTTGTATCATTTTTATATAATGAAAAATGTGAAAAATGAAGATTTGATGTAAAAAAAGTTCCGATTGTAATTTTTTTTTGTTTCATATGTCGCAGATCTAACAAGTTTTCCGAGGAAAATCTTCCCTTCGACTTTGGCATTCATAAATTTTGACGATAAAACATCTAATAGCAGTAATTTCTTTGATTGCGTAATTAAAAATACTGTAGTGGATAATACAATCATTGAATTACTTAAAAACACCAAGGAAGTATGACCATAGGAAAAATGTTCTTCATTTTTTTCACTACATTAGGTTAATTAGTTCATTTTGACATTCCATCAAAATTCAAAAGCATTTAAAAATAAAGTGACTTTATTTCGATGAAATGCTAATTGCACATATAACTGCTATACTATAAAAGTCCATGGCAAGATCCGTAAGTGTGTACTTTTATGTGTGTGTGTGTGTGCAATATTATATCTACAAGATTACTCTAATTTTTTCCCGAAATACAGAGCAATTAAAACACATTTGATTGACATTTGAAATGGACTAGATCCAATTTAATTCTCCAATTTTTAAATTGATCCGTTCATTTTCATAATGGTTTTCATGTTGATAAATATAAAAAATTGCATTTTTACAAAAATCGAGCTCGGATTGCCTAAATTAGTGACAATTATTACTAATTTTCGTCAATTTAACTTTTTTTTTCTCAAAATTCCTTGAATTTGTATACATTTAAATAGAGCATACTTTTCGTGCTGAATCTTCAGTTGAAGTCCGTCGTCTGAAGTGAATTGAGTCTTTTTCACAATGAAGTCTATCAATTTATTGAAGCATTATTTACGTTTATTCGGTATTTTGCCAATTCTCACAGAACAAGGATGGAATTTAAGCATTATTTCGAATTGTATTTTCTATGCAATCTGCCTTCTGTCTCTCTCTTCCACATTATACTTTTTTACATGCACCGCGATTACGTTCAGCGATTACGTAGAAAGTTTTTATTACATACAACATTTTTCGCTAATGCTCTCGTGGTATTCGGTTTATCTTTTACAAAAAACCAACTATGCTAAGCTCGTCGTTGAATTGGATGAAATCATTGAGAAACGTACCGTTAATTTTTTATTTAAATGTGTTGGGATGGGGTGTTAATTTCAAACTTATCTAAAATAGGTGCTACACGTACGACGGCTAAATTGATGTACAAAAATGTTGACGATAATATTGAATCACGAGCAAAATCGTCACATTTAGTGGTTGTGAATATGCTAAGTCCAATGTTCATTGTACCGGTAATTCTATTTTCTTTCATCAAATACGCGATGCACCATACCGATGACTCTTTTGATCTACTTTATCCAGCATCGTAAGTTAATTGTACTTAGTTCATGAGTGTGTTAAATTTTCATTTTTTTCTTTGATTTTTTTGTTGTCACTGACAGTTATCCATTTAATTGGCAAACTCTCTCGGGTTATTTCGCAAGTGCAATACTACAGACCACATCGGTTTATGCTTCGGCCAATATTTTCGTATTCACATTTTCGATGACGCTTGGTTTTTGTCAATTTGTCACAGCTTTCGTCACGGACGTTGAACTTGATATAAATCAATTGAATATAGATGTTTTGGCTGATAAAAATGAAAAAATGAAAGAAATCCAACTGAAGCGTATGATTGGCGAGATTTTTCGATTTTATTTGGAAGCAAAAGAGTAAATTTTCAACTTTTCATTTAATATTTGTTGTTAATAAAAACTATTATTATTCCAATAATTCAGATTCACGACTCGATTCACGGATGCTCATGCTGGCATTGTTTTTTCGTATCTTTGCTTTACAATTGTTTCGTTTTGCTCACTATTCCTTCAAATGAGCGCTGTAATTGAGCTCAATGCTTCGAAAAAGTCAAAGATTTAATGTGTTTAATTTTATTTTTCATTGCAGGCGCTTGTCGCTATGAATTTTTTGGGCGTATTCCAAATATTGGCCACTGCATTGATGATCGTGTCTTGCCTTTTCTTTTTCTGCTATTATGTATATTCACAATTGACTTAATTACTTTAAATCAATTTCATATTATAATAATTTCACATTAACTATTCAAATCACAAGGGAACTTTTGTTACGCAACGTTTTGAGGATGGTGCATTTGATGCATATAATATTCCCTTTTACATGCTCCCAATAAATGTCCAAAGAGACTTTCCTTTGTTTGTGGCTATGGCGCAGAAGGGAATTTTCCTTAGAGGATATGCTGGAACAAAGTGCACCTGTGAATTGTTTAAAAAGGTAATCCTGCTATCAAAATTGTAATTTCGTTCCGATTTTTTCAGTTTAATCCTGATCTTCGATTATAGATCCTGAATACCACATGTGAGTGCTTACTTGAACACGTTCCAAAAAGCAGATATATACTTATAATTTACTCTATTCTAGGGTCTTACTTCATGATTTTGAGAACATTTTATTAAAATATGTTTTATTCAATTACTATCAACATCTCCTGTTGTTCAATATTTATTACGTGTTACTTAGTGCAACACAAAAATTAGTTCTCAAGAAAAATACATAATGAAAATAGAACTGCACATAATTGAAATACGTGTATTACTGTGTGCGATATTAAATATAGAGCAATGACATATTTGGTTGCGAATCTAAAGTGCTCACTCAAAAGATAAAGTGTCTTTAATGATGATACTATAACGAATGTTTTCAAATGACTTTAAAAACAAAACTAAATAAAATCGAAAACAAACTCAACTCTCTTCTTTAAATTTATACATTCTGCACACTCACTCACTAGGTAGATTTAATTGATAATAACTTAACAATGGCAAAACAAAAATATTAAATCTGCAATAAAAATTGGCATACTTTTGATTCGACTTTTAGATATATCATTATAATCATTTTCAAAAGTTTGATCTTAATGAATATGATAAACTTTAATGTAAGTAAAACTACATTACTCTTACCTTGATTTTATTTTATTAAAAAGATATTGGCTTTGAAGTTAAGGCAAGACGTTACCGATAATCTGTACATTAATTGATTGGTGTAGAATTTTATTGGGTGTATAAATTAATTTTGATCGCTGACAATTAGATGTCGCCACTTAAACTTGTATGAAGTTTGACAGTTGAATCCAATTGCATTTTGTACATGTGACATTTGCCAATCTAATTCAGAGCAGAAAGATTTATTTTTGACACAGTGTCATTATTTTCTGATCGATTCAAAATGAGCGATGAAAAAGTGTTTTTCTGTCTGGTCTCCTTTGGTTCAATTTTTTCACTTTGAATAAAGTGAAAATACATCTAAAGGTTATAAAATGTTGCAGGAGACGAGACCTCTCATTCGCCACAGAGAATATTGAATTTGGTGAAAAAGAAGTGGTGAATTTGTTGAAAAACTGTGAACTCACCAAAAAAAATTGAATGATGGGCTGTTGGCATTTTAAATTCGATAAAGATGCATGAAAATGCATCAGAAAACATCAGAAGCATTAAATATATGCGAATCAATCCTTTTAAGACTTTTATAATGAGGTAAGACCAAAGGAATTTTGTGCCATACCAGTTGAATCCAAAACTAGTTGTAAGACGTTTTTCACATTTTGGCACAATGTTCCAAAAATAGGAGAGAAAGGAATTTTTGTATCGTATTGTAACTGGAAGTGAAGAGGGCATGTGCTACGATAACCTCAGGCATAAAAGTGAGCGTTCAATCCCACACAATCATCAAAATCGATTGCATAGCAGGATTTTGATGATTTCTCGGTAATGCTCATTATTTGGTGGGATTAAAGTGGTGTGGTGTATAATGAGCTGCTGAAACCGGGTGAAACTGTCACGGGGGATTGGTATCGACTACAACCAATACGTTTGAGCAGATTACTGAGAGAAAAATTGAGAAAAACTGCGACAAGAAATAGTCGAAGGATTTATCAAAATTTGACATATTTCAAACATCGCAAAAAAAAAGATAGGGGACTCTGGTCGGGGTGAGCTTGATCACCCCCCGTACTCTCCAGACCTTGCCCCTTCTGACTACCACTTGTTTCGATCAATGCAAATGGGCTTGTCTGAGATATCGTTTCGAAATTCTGAGGGAGTGCGAAAATGGGTCGATCAATGGATAGCTGGAAAAGATGAGGAATTCTTTCGACGCGGAATCGACAAACTGCCAAGAAGATGGGCCGAAGTCATAGCTAACTATGGGCAGTACATTGGTTAATGTACTCATTCTTATTATTTTTAAATAAATGTTTCCTTTCACCAAAAAAACGATCAAAATTAATTTATACACCCAATATTTCGTGTGTAAAATGTTTTACCTTTATAAATTTTGCTTTTAAAATTTACGTTTAGAAAACGATGCATCCGTTGTTTTGTGCCAAACTGGATTTGATAAACAATTTATATTTACTCCTACTTGTATGTAATTTCGAATTTCATTTCACTTAATTTTTCACAACATTATTTTATAGTTTTATGCCAGTTTTACTAATGGATAATAGTTTGTGCACCAACTTTAAAATGTTTATGTCATATTTTGTGATGCGCATTTAATTTAAATAATAAAATGGTAGCTTGCATGAAAATGGTTCTTAATGCAAGTTTCCAACGACAAATGACACAATTCAAAACATTTTGATTTGTTTGTCCTCCAATTTATTTTAGTAATTGTAGTCACTGTTACTGATTTGGTTTGACCTGGAAAAACTTTTTATTGTCCAGTAACGATTTTCTAACCGTAAATTATATATTCGTTCAAATAAAAGTAAAAGCAAAACATTTTTCGGGTAATGATGAAGCAAAAGTAACGGAAAACTACTTTCCATTCACAAAATGGTTTGCATTGAAACTGGCAACTGGAAAATTTGTGTTTTTTTCTTGCCAAATTAGGAAATCGAGTTTTTGTGTAATGGTTTTCTTTGTGATGCTGTGGGGTGTGCACTTTTGACATAGTTCTTTTACAGTGTGTCAGTATGTGCACAATAGAATTGCACTAAATGTGCATCATTTACATTACCATTTCGCTTTCATCACGTAGAAAGTGTGGAGTCATGCGAAAACACTCAACACAATGTCAACTTGTTTGGTTAGTGGCATGTGTAGTTAGTCACCCAAAAATGTGTGTGCATGCATGTGTGTGTGTGTGTGAACGAGTTAAATTCACGCTGAATGGTGTGTTTATGCACAAGAGACATTTCAGTGTGCATTTCGGATTCCATTGCTACTCAGGAGTACTTTTCTATTGGATGTACGTGTGGTGTGTTCCATATCTGTTCTACATCTTACTGTAGAGATAACGGTGTGCTTTATACTTTATCATTTTATATGTATGGTCTTGTTGATAGGATTCAAATATGCTGACATGAATAGTTTATCTTGAATTTCCATTTTTATCGTTTTTTGCTTTTCAGTTTAATTCGGACTTGAAGTGAAGAATGCAATATTCACATTTTCAAAACTCGAACTGTCATATACGCTATTAAGTGCAATCTCATGTTCCGAATCATCATAAGAACCTGACAGTATAAATGGCAGCAAAGCATAGAAAAAAGTGAAGACCACGGTTAGATTACACGATATTGCGATTAAATTTTCAAACATCGTCTTCTACTTAAGTGAAGTGAAAAGAACATAATTCCTATCCTTAGCTTCGATTCATGGGATCAAGCAATAAGTAAAAGGATTGTATGTTATAAATCCGAATACGAATCATCAGTTCACCTAATGAGCCATTGTATAATTTGAGATCCGTATTGCTTATTGACCCAAATTGCACCAAATCTATAACTTTTTACAATTTAAAGTATGTCAAACCAACTGAAGAAAGTCTCTTCGATTCAATCATGTTTTTTTTCTTCATTGAATGAATAAGAATCGATATTATTCCTGAGTGACGTTCGCATCAGATCTGTACCCTCGAAACTTTGACTGATTTATTATTCTTGAAAATAATACACAAATGGAAGTGCTTTTATTATATCAAAATATGACCATGATGAATTTTAAAAAATATATGATAAAATGATATCTTCTTCTCAACGGTTGAAAATCCAAGACGATAAAGCAAATAAAGAGACATTCTGTCGAGATGTGACAAGAACGTTGTGAATTATGAGCTCATTTTAAATATATGAATAAATATATTGCATGTTGATTGGTGTGACGAATAAGAGATTTTAAGTGTACAGTTAGATTATCTAACTTAGGTGGTTCATTTTCCCTTATCCATTCATTGTACATACGTGTTTGTATATCTTTGTTATTCGTGTCATCAAGAGATTGAATAATCTAACGAAATGGTAATATCAAATAATTTTCCATATGCATTTTTTTGATCTTTTAAAATATACACAGAGAGAGAGAGAGAGAGAGAGAGAGAGAGAGAGAGAGAAAGAGAGAGAGAGAGATACAAACGCTCACACATATACATACGAAGGATTTTGTTGTTGTGTGCATTTGATGCTTTTTGTATATTCCAGGCGTGACGTAAAAGGTGTGGATAATATCGAGAAATATATGAGAAATGTGTAGAAGATGAAACACATGTCGGCAAATGCCTGCTATTTTAAGATATGCTTCAATATTTTGAGTTGATATAGATGCTTTTTTGTGTTAAAACTAAGTTGCATGCAACAAATGCCAACAGGAGACTTATTTCATACCGTTGCTATAATTTTTACATGAGTTCAGGCACATCCCTGTGTCGACAGGTACAAAGAAGATGGCATAATTTTATAGATTCTTTTGGCACGGGTTCGGGCCGCTTTTCTAAATATGTACACATATAAATAAGAAAAAAAAATATGTAAGGGGTGGATCGTATCTTGCCACACATACGCGTATAAATTGTCTAACTCTTTGCGATACACAAAAAATCTATGCCAAAAGTCAAGCAAACGAGAAATGAAAATATTGTAGTATTAAGTTTTAACGCCATTTAAGCTACAATCACCTATGTGTTGCCTTCGTTCAAAGACTTTGTATATCGATGTCGAGCGAACACGACGCATTCATATGGCATTTGATGTTTTTATTATTATATCTTTTTCTTTCATCGTGCATTTACATTTATTATGCGCACGTTTTTCATAAATAATTTTCACTGACAAAATGCTGAAAGACCTGATTTTATTTACATTTGTACATTCTGTATGGTCTTATTAAAAATATTGCTCCCTCAAAACTCAGAAAATCATACGTGGTTGCAATGTTGATATGTGATTTCATGTTTGATAGACTTTTTTTTTCAATCTATAAAAAATAAAATTGCACTAAATCCAATAGGTAACATATGTCACCTATGAATATTTCAGTTTTTTGAGGTAAACATTTTTTTACATTTGAAGCAAATACAAATGAAGGTTTTGAATTTGCTTAAAAGGAAGATTTATTTCATTTCTTTTGTATTACACGATAAAATGATTTAAATTGGTCTGTATAATTCGAAACTTTGATCAATCGGCCATTTAGAAGTATGTAGTGTAACCAAGTCCGCCGTATGAACTATAAAGGGATGGATAGCTGTACAGAGGCGATGCAACAACATGAGAGGTAGCTACAGGTGCATAAGAAGCATGAGACACCACAGGAAGAATACCAGATGAATAAACACTTGGATAAACACCTGAAATGAACTGTGGCTTGGCTACTGGTACGGCGTTTGATGCAACAGCAAAGAAGAAAATGACGGCAAAAATCTGTAAAAAATTTATGACAAAATATTTCTTTTTAAGACGATTTTGTTGAATAAAAGTTTAATTTAAAAATTAATATTACCCTTACCAATTTGAACATCTTGATAGTTTTGAGTACTTGCTTGTAGGTGAGTTAGAAGTTGCTTTTACAAATAGCTCGAATTGAATGATACCTGCCAAAGTTTGAACATGCTTTTTATACAACATTTTGCCACCTAATTTTTCAATTCAATTTTTTTCTCGACAAAAACAACATCGGTTCCGGCTTTAAATCTGTCAGATCAGTTTATTGCCAATTAATTATCGATGCGCAGCACAATTTGCCTGAACCACATTTTTATTGCTTTTTGGACACGAGAGATAAAAAAAATACGTGATTAAATAACCGATGCTCTTCGAATCTCGTCAATCATCATTAGCATGAATTGTGATGTCTTTGTTACGCTGACATGATTCAACAACATCTTTTCTTTTCAACAGATTCTGATCTTTTCTTCTCAATCCAGTTTCTAAATAAGACGACATCTGGTTACGTCGAGTTATGATGAATCAAGTTATCTGCTCAAACTACGCTTCAAACAACGCACAATGCAAAGAACGCATTTTAATTTATTGCGAAAAAAACACACACGTGTAACAAAAGCAGCTGAAAACGGGTCTGATTAGGCTATGATAATGATGGAGTTCAATGGTCCACTTGATCGTAAATATGATTTGTTTATCGATATCTTTAAAATTTGAATACAAAAAATATGAATATTGGTTTCACTCGTGTCGATTTATAATAAGAGATATGCTCTATGAACACTTTTGACTTTAATTTAATGAATGTTGTTTGTACTTTTTTTTCAGTGATTCGAAGTAAGTAACTGAAGAAATTCTAATTGAAATAAAGCTGCCTGGGCAAAGATAATTGTATAATTATAAACGGCCAGAATAAGAACAGAACAAGGAACTTCAAAATTAACGAAAGCCAAGCTGTTATTGGTACCAGAGAAGTGCGACCACTAGTAAGTGACCGAAAATATTCCACATAATTTTTCAAGTGCCACACCTGAATACAAAAAAGAGCAGGACTTACAAGAAAAAGTGCCTGCACCTTCACGGTGCCTGTAGTTGCGGCATAGATTTCTGTTGCCGATTGGAAATCCTAGCATTTTTTTCTCGAAAAGTTTTTACTGTTGAATTCCATTATTTTAGAGTATCATACCTTACCTTCTATATGGTAAGCATTTGGATCTGAATTAAACCAAGACCTGTCAGCTTGTGAACGAATCCAATGAATTTGGCGTGGATCGAGAACAAAAATACAAAGACCAATCAATTTGCCGTGGTTGCAGAAAACTCATTGGTATTTTTCTTTGTCTTTTTGTTTCCATTTAAATGTTAGCTTATAATCTAATCATGGTGAATAAATTGTCGGTTGAATGTTGATGCTATTGGAAATTCTTTGAAATGCATCACATCATTGGCATCCATCGAAATACAATTTGCGAGAATAATCGCCTTGAACAATAGAACAAAATGAGGAGGATATAACCAAAGTCTTATCGTTTGCAACAACTTCATCGTACATCTGTACGTTCTTCTTTTTGTTTGTGTTATTTATACAACATCTTTGCTCCCGATTTCGTGTGCGCCCATCTGTTTTTGGTGTGCCTTTGTTTTTTTTGTTATCATCGTCACCATCATTTTTGGTGATTTTGGTAAAACGTTGCTTGAAACGGAAACGATTCACTAAAATTTTATTCGATTTCCTAAACGTGAATCGATTTTCATGCGAGACAAAGGTTTTCGCTCTACCTATAGTCATTATTATTGTTGCCGTTGATGCTTTTGCTTTGAAGATTTTTTTTATGTATAGTGGTGCGTGTGTGAGACATTTTCAATGAATTAAGAAAATTGTTTTTTTTTTTCGTACGTGGATCTCAAATGCATAAGTAATGCTTGTATTCTACGAATTGACAAAGATCCATCCACCACTTTTACAAACCTAAATAATGAAATGAAACAAGAATGAAATAGAGAAGAAAAGAGAGAAATAAAAGCGTGATACCGTTGAATAATTTAACTTCCAGCTTTTGGTTGGCATTTAAAAGATGAAGATAATTCGAAATGGAGCAAAGGCACATAAATTCTTGCTGCTGATGCTGCGACAAACGACAATTCACTTACTTACTTACCTTCCATTTACATTTACCTTGTTTCGAATCATTTGCGTTTCCTCGTTTATTGAGGTTGAGGCACAAAGCTTCGAAGCTTATAATTCATTTGAATGTCAGGGCACCCTTCTTGATATCACACGCACACATAAGAGACAAAGACAAACAGGATCACTGAACGCAGATGCACAATTGGCAATATAAGACGTACGCAAAATAGCAGACAAAAAATATCAAAGAAAAGAAAGAAAATCTCAGAGTGTGTGTTTGTCCCTTTAAGAGAATAATCATAACCATATATATTGTACGAATTTTCATGCGCAACGATTCTAAAATCGTACGTATTCGTATGCAAATGTTGAAAAAAAAAAACAAAAGCAATGTACAATAAATGGCGAGCGGGGAGGGGGAATGGAGCATGAAAGAAAAATGCGTACGAGCCGAATTTGAGAAGGGTGCATTGTCTGCAAGTCATACAACATGTATTACTTACGTTTGAATTTTTTTTATGGTAACGATTATCCCAGATCGGGATATTTTGCCGTAAGACTGCCCGACGTCGTTTAGGTACTGTCGCAGGTAAAATTGATAAATTTAATTACGACCATAAGCCGAATGATATGATTTTGATTGCGCATCGACCGTTGTGTTTCACTTTGATTATCTCGGTTCAGACCGATGGCGTTTTTCGTTTGCCGGTGCGCTTATGGTAAATGTAATTTTCATTAGAGATTAGCCTCAATAATACCATTTAATTTCTTTTTCCATTGTTTCGTGTGCACAGAATGGTTTAGAAAATACAACAAAATGCGCGGAAGGAAGAATAAACCAGAAAATGCAAAGTACCATCAAAGAATGATGATTTTATTTGTTTGTCGTTTTGCGTGAACGTTGAAGATTTAAATTTCCATTTTTTGTTTGTTAACAGTAATAAATATCTTGTTAGCAAAGTATAAAATAAGCATAAAATTTGTTCAAGTTTAATTGTCATTCCGTTCATGACGGTTATTTTTATACAAATGAAATTTATCCGCCAACAATGCACGCTTCAATAATATTGGTCAATTAGCATGTCATAGAATCTCAAATTAATATATGTGCAATTAAAATTGCGTGGCAGCACGAATGAATGGTGCCGTGTGTATATAAATTTCGTATGCATATGGAACGTTTGGCTTATTAATGTTTCCTCTTCATTAATTTCTCATTCGTTCTCTCGCAGAGATAAAAAACGGATGCAATTTTTGCATTCATTGATGAAAAACAACACGACTCAAAGTTTTAACAAAGTTCAACGAGCATAGATGGTGTTCACAGTGTTGCGATTTATGAAAATCATTGTTTTGCAGGCTGATAAAAATATTCACTTTTCACACATCACATGATTTGTTGTTATAGTTGGTGCTTGTCGCCGAAGAAGGAAAAGCATAAATCAAAATAACTTGAATTTCGCTTGCAAATGGCAATGACAGTTATTACTCTGTTATCATTGTCAAAGTGTTGACTCATTCCAAAATCGAAAATGCTAGTTTATGATAAGCCGCTAATAAACCGGTCATTTGTTCCATTTTTGTGAAGAAACCAACATGGTCAAGGCTATATTGTTGACATAATTCATGACGACTTCACACCGCTTGAGCAAATGTAATGAGTAAATATTGAATCCATGCCGTTTGTGTATTTGATAAAACAAAAGACACCGTGATGCCGTGTTATTCTTATTAAATGTTTTTTGGTGATTTTCTAACTTGTATCGAATGTTGAAATTGAAAGAGTGATGCTATTTGAGTTGATTTTTATCATCATGATGATAATTATATTTATCTCGGTGCGCAAAAAGATTTTAATGCGAGCGGAAAAAATGTCCATATAATAGATATGATCATTTTTGGTGTACCTAAGTCACGTTGAAACAAATATTAAATAGTTATATATAACGCGAGAATCGAGAGATAAAGACGTTAATAAAAAAAGCCGCAAAACCAATGAAACAATAGCTGACATCGTCGGCACCGAACTTAAACAAACCGCAGATAAATAAACAACTCTTTTTTTCCACTGCGTTCAACATTTCTTTCATCTCGCAAACCAGGCGGTTGAGCGAATTTATCGGATTCGAATTTGAATGCGTGTGTTGTTGTGATGTGACAAAAAACTTCGACCAAAGTCAACAACGGACAAACTGCAATTCCATTTATACCGACAAGCATACAATATATTTATTTGTAATTAGCGCCATTACGTTTTGCAACAAACACATTATTTTAAATGCTTCAGTAGAGCACGAAATGAAAACGTATATGTGTTATGTATCTTTTTATTGTGATTTCTCAAGTGGACGAGACCTGGCACATGATCGAAATCTATGATTATCGTACAGTCTCAAAATGGACTACATGGTGACAGCACAACAATTCATTTTTTTCTTTTTCAATAAAATTCATTATTTTTTTTTACAATAAAAAAACGAACGAGTACACAATTCAATTTTAAATTGAATAATTGTTTCGACGAACATTTTACCTTTGAAAAGTAAAAAAAAATTGCAAGAATATCTTGCGGAAGATAAAATCGATTTGAGAGAAAAAAGGCAAATTATAATCCAAAACTGTGACGTTGAATTTTATCAATTTTTATCGCAATTTCTTAAAAAGGTGATTCATTTATTACGGACGGGCTTGGCGGATTTAAAAAAACGCAAGATAATAAAAATTGTCTTGTATGACTTCGAGATTAAAAAAAAATATCATCAGCAATTATATTGCTCATGTGACGATATGAGCGCAAATAACATTTTTTATGGATGATATTTTAATTTGTGATTAGAAATTCAGTGGCAGTAACGTATAACAGCTCGTGAATGAACCGTCGATGTGTAATTGGAAAACCAAATTTAATGCAATTGTCGTGCAATAAATTGACAATAGGCATGCAAACCGCATTGTATTTACATTCTTAACAAAATACATGAAATAAATTTGGAATCCAGAAACAAGTCACATAAATACATCAACTATTACAATTTCAATGTAAAATATAGTTTCGTATAATTGAATTAAAACTACCGCTGTGATATTAATAAAAACATGCTGTTCGAATTGTTTAAACACAAAAAAAATTTCTGTAACAAAAAGTGGAAAGGCTTGATACCATAACAAGTTAAACATTTTATAAATGTGAGAAAATGAATGACAAAAATCGTGAGTATAATCGAAAAGTGATTCCATATATTCGGGTTGATTCGCCATTAGCACTTCAGTCGTATATTTGTACATCGAGCAGTGAAGAAAGTATTCCAGTTGATGCGCCGCTTGTCCGTCAATCAAGTGGTAGCATTGACATAGACACATTACCAGCGGAACTGCGTCAAAAAATCGTGGCAAATGGAATTGATAAGCATACAAATGACTACACGGAGAATGTAAGAGAATCTCAGGACCTGAGAGAATCCATTCAAGATATTACGTAAGTTCTGAGCAGGAAAAATCACCTTAAAAACGCATGCTTTCATGTTCTCAATAAAACTTAAACAGCACCCAAACTTCGCCACCAACACCGGACTCATCCATTGGCAGTGCATCAAATTTGCCATCGTTTGCATCAAAAGATCGATCGGCTCGAGGTAATTTGCGCAGAAATTCAATCTCATTGCCCGCACTAACCAACATCGATTTGAATGAACTTCAAAAAATTCATAAAACTTCAATTGAGGTAAGTTACTTTTGCCGTTCGTATAGAATACAAATCAACAATTGTACATGAGCAATTGTGTAATAATAATTAGTATAGGGTAATAGGAATTCAACTCGTTATCACTGGATTGGTTCATGACGTTGTTAAATTGACACGTGATCATTATTACATTTGTTTTTCTTTGGCACTTATTCGACAAAGACAGAAATACAAATACTTGCGCACAATTCACATTTAACAAAAACAGACACACATTCCATTTGACAACTGATTCTTGTTACAGTCAACAAAAATTATGCTATATAATCATTATAAAAATGTGTGTATCTGTTTGCGAGCGTAGATTCATTCCTTATTCCTTCATTGAAATGCTTCCTACACTTATACAAGCACACTGAACCAGTGCGTTAATAAGAAATCAATGCATACCAACAGCGTTGACATCGCAATGTGCTCATGAATGTTTACAATATTTTTCTAAACGTCGACGCGCATTATACGTGTGTTTTATATTGCCCAAGTGTTTTGATGTTTTTTTTGTGATTGAATCAAGATTAAAGATTTAATTTACTTCTACGACAAATCTTTGGAATTAATTAAATTTACATGAGAGTTTCATGTTAATTAAAGGCACATTATTTAATTATCAAAGAGACTCTCAATCGTTCATTGTCTACAGTTCAATTAAGTAATATTCGACGTTGTTTTCGTGAATTAAATATTTATTTTCTTCACTTAAATTTAAAAAAAAAAATAAGTTAAAATGTCAAATCGAAGAAGAAAACCGTCTATATATTTTCAAGAACTATTTCTGCCGCCAAGAATAATCGTTCATACACCATCAAATCAAGTAAATTAAAAAAAAAAATCAATGAAACCCTAACCACAAACTTAAAAATAAAAACGATACCGTGTCAACGATTGACTGCCAAATTAAACAGGTTTTTGTTTTTGTCATCATATCGTTTGTTTAATTCTTCTAGTCGCAGCAAGCGGATAGTCAATCGAGTATAAATGATGCAAGTGATGAACAAACACCGCCCGAATCGCCGCTACCGTCACCATTGAAATTGGTTCAACAATGCAACGCCGTTACTGTGGACAATGGTTCGAAAATTGGATTTTCGGCTGCAGTCACCAAGGCTGGCAACGATATAGAACAAGCAGCTGATCCGAACGAAAACAGCGACAGCGATAACGAAAATGAAAAGAAAAAACCACAATTTCAGTAAGTAAATTGATAATTGATCAACTTTCTATGATTCGATTAAAATAACCTTCGATCATTTTGGATTGATAGTAAAAGATAGTGATAAGAAATAGTATTTAATCGCTTTTGTTATGTGCCACTTTAAAAAAATGGTTCAACAAACAAAGCATTCGCCTTTTAGAATGAAGCAACAAGTGTTCAATACGACAACAACGAGAAGAAGAAGAAGCAGAAGATCTTCATCGCGTGTCACTCGTTCAAGTCATGTGTAACATGAGTTTATTGATGACATGTATCAAAACAAGTTGAAAATCATGCGTGTTTTGTTAGGTTTTTTTAAAAGAAACACGACTTGTAAAGACATGTCTCAAGTCAGACAGTAGTTGAAGCAAGGCGATGTATTGAGTTCGTCTACAGTGATAATGGTGATACTGTGATAAAATTCAATTTAATCTGAATTTGAATCAATTTAAGTGAATTAAGTGTTCGCTGTTCAGTCTATAGATTGTCTCGTTAGCCATCGGCTCGTAAGAAAAGTTTGTTTCGTTTGTTCTGATGATTTTTTTAAGTTAAAAGCAGAGAAAAAAACATAATTTCATTCTGAATTGATTTTTCTTCTTGAATTCAGTTATATACATCTAAGTGATTTCGTTTAAACACACCCAGTGTATATCAATATAACCAATATTCATTTTTTCTTTCATCCAAACCAAAAAAATAGGTCATTTTTCCGAACAAAGCGACGTTTGTCTATTGCACCATTGCCAGCACTGCGTTTGAATGATAAAGAGATGATGGCGAACGAATTCGAGAGTCAGAGCATGATAAGCAATCAAAATTCAATAACAAGTGTCAATTCGTTGGCCAGTTTATTGAAGGAAAAGATGCAGGTAAGAGTGAACTTTGGTCGTGCAATATATACATATGTGTGTGTCGCACAACAAAATAACTTTGACAACAGGAAATCTGACCGTTTATTGCATTTTATTAGATGTTCCCGTCCATGATTCGTCGAAAAAAAGAAACAACAAGTGATATAAAAATTAAAGCGTTCGTTCTGACGCTATTTATGATCATTGTATTTCTCGTTGGGTATGCATACGTTGCATACGAACAACATGTATTGTCATACTTGTATTTCGGTCGCATTCAATTTGACAAAGATACGAGAGTGTTTCGAATATTCGATCATCGCCGTAAATTCATCGAGGGTCGTTTAGGTCGAAATATTATCGATGGCAAACCATTTCATTGTGTAAATGGAAATGCGCACGATGGTAGCCTGTGCATTGAATGGGACAGCGAAGCTCGTTTGTATATGAATGAAGACAAAACACGAGATGGATGCTTCACATTGCGTTGGCAAGCATTGAAAAATGGCACATATCCAACAGATTGTTTTGACATTGGTGATAAAGTGCATTGGTTTGGGGGTGGCATCACGAAAAAGAACGACTGGCCATTGAGTCGCGGAAAATTTGACTTTGAACCGTTCAGTGAGTATAAATTTGGAAAATTCTATTGTAATTTCAAAAATTTAGTTTATTTACTTGTTCATTTTACTTTTAAATAATAGTAACGGGCGATGCACGAGCACAGCAGTTTAGCAATGCACTAAATCGACACTTTATCAGTTCGCATAGTGTGTCGATTCGTGTTGATGAACGAACACCACTGTATATTAGCATGAACCATAGCAATTCAAATGAATTTTGCTTGAAAGCGATGAACGATAATTTTGCATTTGTAAATCGAATGACACCGTATCCAGAATTGAGCTATGAAATATGTATTGCTGAAAATATGAGAAAATTGCACAACATGACGGTGGAAAAAAAACTAGCACCCGACGGTCAACTATCGGAAGCTGATTTAAAAGTTGTTTATTCGCTGATGGAAGAGCCGGTGTGGCAAATTCCAGCATCAAGTTTTGATCAGCTCACCGAAACGGTTATATTCAATTATACCGAAGAAGTTGTTGCATTTAGCTATATGAAACCGGGCCACATTTTGGTGAATGAATTTTGGCAAAAGGAAATCGGTGATTTTACTGTTGACACCGAACGTTTTCAATATTTTGCCGAGACCATTAAAGAATTGCATAAAAAAGGTTTTCGCATCGTTTTAACGGTTCAGCCATTCATTAGTACGGATTCGAAAAGTTTCAAAGAAGGTGTTGAAAAAAAGTTGCTCATTTATGAGCGCCTGTCTGAACGAAGTATGTGCCAACTTTTTATCACATGTTTGTTTCCGATTTATTGGTACGAATCTAATTGATTCTATTTCACTTCTTTTTTTTTCGTTTTCGTAGGTATTCCGGCATTGACGCGGTATAAAAGTGCACCAAGTACCGGAGTATTGGATATAACAGTTAATGTGTCATGGTTGTTGCAAAAGCTCAATAAAGTCGTCAAAGACTATCAAATTGATTCATTTTTCTTGGACTTTGGTACGTGCTAAGCATGCTAATAATTTTTGATTGTATAAAATAAGTGGAAATATTTCATTTCTGTTTCGTTCGTTACTCGTCTAGGCACCGCCTATAATATGCCCCATTATTATCAGTGTCATCGAAGTTTACTCAATCCAGACGAATACAAAACAATTTTTGGCCAAAAGTTTGACGATTCAATTAAAATAATGGCCTATTCCGGAGCGATAACGGCACCAAAATTACCATCATTTTTGAGTCTGCCGCCAGTGAATGCATCATGGGAAGGACTCCAATCGATCTTACCAACTGCATTGGCATACGGTGTGGCTGGTTTTCCATTTATTATGGCCGGTGCTGTTGGAGGAGATTATTATGTTTCCGGCAATGATTCGACTATTCTTTCATATCATTCATTGGATCAGCCACAACTTCCCGACCAAGAATTATTCATTCGTTGGTATCAACTCAGCACATTTTTGCCGAGCATACGATTCAGTCACTTACCGGAGGAGTACAAAAGTGAGAAAGTCACCACCGTCGAAAAAGAATTGTTATCCATTCGTGAAACAGTTGTTATTCCGATTCTTAAAAAGTATATTAATGAAGCCATCTACGATGGCAAACCATTGATTCGACCATTGTGGTTGCTTGATTCCATACCGGATGCAGCATGTTTGGAAGAAAATGAATTTTCCATTGGCGAAGATTTGATTGTGGCACCGATTCTCTATCGAGGGGTAAATAAACGTACCATTTATTTGCCGAGTGGGTTGTGGAAAGATGGAATTGATGGTACAACTCGTAAAGGTAATACATGTCTCTACCAATATTCTGTGCCAATTCATCAAGTTCCCTATTTTATACGCATACCAACCAATTCAACGTCATAAATATATCGGTTTCGAATGCGAACGTTTATTTTTCTCATTTATCGAACCTCATCAAGTGATATATTAATATATACGTATACATTTATCAAATAACAAACATATATAATGTTTTATAGAATTTTCAATTCACATTTATTTTAACCAATTTCCATTTTATCAAAACAACACGAAAATGCATAAATATTATGATGATTGCTTAGGTATTTTGATTCAGTTATGAGAACGGATATATTAAACCAATGAAAGTCGAATTATAGCCATGTTGCATTGTATTGTAATAATCAGAATGTTTTGAATAAAAGTCATAATTAAACGTGAAAATATGCCAATGGTTTTGTGGTACATTTGAATTTGTGTTAATGAATGGGATTTGCTTTTGCACATTAAATTACAAAACATTAGTTTATAAAATGGATAATAGTTTGCTGTATCGTCATCACCATCATAATTATCAAAATATTGATCATTTTTGTGTGATTTTACATTAGTACAACTAGTAGCTGTGATGACAACAACTCGGTGAAATGACCAAAAATTGACTTGTTCAAATAATGTAATTGATTGGTGACAAAACATAACGACCACGGAATTTTAAACAGAATTCAAGTAAATTTTACACAGCAATGATTTTCATTTCATTTCAATAGGTTTGTTTCGAAAATTATCTGTGATGTGCTTATTTGTATACATCATTATAGCTACAAAATACGTTCATCAATATATACTATATATTATTATAGTTACTAAATATAATTAACTTCGACTTAATATTCAATAGTGACGCATTTCGTTTTAAGATACTCATTGAGTGCTTCTTGTCCCAGATCTTTTCCGAATCCGCTTTGTTTAAATCCACCAAATGGTGCTGCAACATCAGTTTTATTATAAACATTTACAAATACCGTTCCTGCTTCGATTTTGTCAGCGAATAATAGTGCCTTGTTCAAATCTTTTGTAAAAATGCCACTCGCCAAGCCAAATTCTGTTTTGTTGGCGCGCCGAATGACACCATCTATATCGCTGCCACTGAATTTGGATATTATCATAATTGGTCCGAATGATTCTTCTTGCGCTATGTACATATCATCTTCGACATCGGTAAATACGGTTAGTTGAAAGAAAAATCCTTTCATATTCGGCACTCTCTCTCCGCCACAAATCAATTTGGCACCATCACGTACTCCAATTTCACAGAATTCGTGTAATTTATCGAAATGCGCTTTGTGATTCTGTGGACCGTGTGCCGTAGAACGATTCAACGGATCGCCGATTTTCATATTTTTCACATCTTTCAATACACGTCGCACAAATTCATCGTGGATTTTATCTTCGACAAACAAACGTCCAGCCGATATACAATTTTCGCCTTTGTTAAAAAATACCGATGACATTCCCTTTATTTGAAATAAAAAAAAATTAATTGGACGATTTAAAATTGCGATAAAAACCAAGTAAAAAAAATATGCTTACATATTTTACAGCCTTCTCAAGATCACAATCAGCAAATATAACAAGTGGCGATTTACCGCCTAGTTCTAATGAGCATTTTTTTAAGTTTGATTGTGCACATGTTGTCATGATTGTCTTTCCAATTTCCGTTGATCCGGTGAAACCCAATTTGCGGATCAATGGATGATCGGCGATTGCTTGCCCTGTAACAGACCCGGTTCCTGGTAAAATATTGATGACACCACTTGGAAATCCGGCCAAAACCGTAAGTTCGACAAATTTCAATGCGGTTAATGGTGAGACTTGTGCTGGTTTCAAAACGACCGTGTTTCCAGCACCAATGCAAGCAGCCATTTTCCAACTTAGCATCATTAAAGGATAATTCCAAGGTGTGATGATACCACAAACTCTGGATATTTTTCATAGGGAAAAAGTATAATTCTAAACATTGTTTTTTAATACAATAATTAACAAAATAGATAAAAAATTTACCCGATTGGTTCTCGTTTTGTGAATGTGAGTACATTATTTGGTCGAGCTGCGCTCACTGGAATGGTGGAGCCTTCAATTTTATCACAACAGCCGGCAAAAAATCGCCACGCTTCAATTGACATTCCAACGTGTGTTTTTAAGGCCAATGTGTACACGGCACCCGAATCAACCGCTTCGATTGTGGCCAATTCTTCTTTATGCTTCTCCATTAAATCGGCCAATCGCATCATCATGGCACCCCTTTGTCTGGCACTAATTTCACTCCATGGCCCTTTAAAAGCTTCATAAGCTGATTTCACCGCATAGTCAACGTCTTGAACGGTTGCAACTGGCATTTGACAAATAACCTCTTCTGTGGTCGGATTCACAATATCGATTTTCTTCACATGTTTGCCATCAGTGAATTGACCATTAATAAATAATTGTGTTGGAACATGAATGTGTCTTTTATTTGCATTGATTGTGATGCCATTATATTCAACATGTGCAACAGTGTCGGATGTACCTATACGTTTGGCCAAAATGACAGCTGTTAAAAATTCATCAAAAACTGGTGACATAAAAACTACTGAATGTTCCAAATGTATGTCGAATGCATCTTTAACTTCTTCAACTAAGCGAACGATATCCATGCTTCCAGCTCCACTTGTAAGGAAATTGGTAGTATCATCAATGGTCACATTTAAAATTGATTGCCAAATTTTCTTCAAGTGCTCTTTAATCACACGTTCATCGTCGGTTAGTTCAATGATTATTTTTTCGGTTTCCGCATTAAACCATTCACTGGCGCCAATCATTCGACCTTTACGCATAATCCGTTTAACATTTACATAGTTTCCATCTGTGCCACAAATTAAGAGGCCGTGTTCATTAATCAATGCTGGACGCGATAATCCTTTGAGATTTAATGGTTTTGCATCCGATGAAATGATGTCATGGTATAAACAAGCTCCAAAGAGGCGAATCGATTCTTCTTCACTGTCATCCGTTGAAAGTACATGGGCAATAGCACCAGGCACGGAATCTAAAGCACGTATGAAATTAAAAATACGATACGCTGGCTGATTCAAATCAATAATTTGATTTTCTACTTTGAATATTGGCGGCTCGTAAGTTGCGCCGAATTCAATTTGTGGAATTTTTGGTGCTTTTTTCTGTGCAATCAAATCGACAGCCGTTTTCATAGATTTAACACCTTCTGGGTATAAGAAACGTTTGTAAATTGAATCCAATGTGTCGGTTGATTCAACATTACACTGTTTTGTCAGCAGTAGGGGTCCAGTGTCGAGCCCATCATCTGCCCAAAAAATCGAGAATCCAGCAATTTCATCGCCTTCAATCAATGTCCAACTTATGGCGCTCGCGCCTCGATGTCGCGGCAGAACGCTTGGGTGATAACAAATGCTACCGTGCGTCGCCCCATCAATCACCTCCATCGGAATGAATTGTGAACAAAACGGCAACACATTCAAATTGGCTTTTACCGATTTATATTGTTCGAGTACATCATCCAAAACAACACCCTTTCGACGCCACAATGGGAATTTAAACACTGAAATATTATGCAATTTTGCTGTCGTTGCAAGTATGTCTTCTCGATTGCCTTTGTCTGGAATCGTGAAAACACCAACCACATTGTAACCGCTTTCCAAAAGAAGTTCCAAAACATCTGCAGCAAAATTACTTTGGCCAATTATTGCAATTCGCAAAGATTCATTGCCGTTGCACATTGTTGTGCAATTGCTTTTGGCTGTACCGTTTAATTTGGTATTTATGCTATAACTCATTTTGTCGATGTTGTATGTTTTAAACGAACTTCTAAACTATTTGTTGTGATAATTGTATGTTACTCGATAAGCAAGTAGCTGCTTTTCACACAATTTTCTCTTTTTTCACTTCTTTCTCGTCGAAGCTATGAATGAAACTGATGTAAAATTATGTTCGCTCTCGACTATTTATATTTGTGTATGGGAACGAAATAAATCAAAGACAGATAATTAGACAGTTTTTTTACTCTTCAGATTAACGATGCTAATGTAAGCACTGGAAGGAGAAAAACAAACAACATACGAAGCAATTTAAGATGAGAGAAAACACGTTTCTCTTGTATGATCTTCTAAAATATAACACATTTCATTCAAATCAATTTCAATTATCTCCAAATTGTTTTCATTTTATATAGGTCTGTCACCTTTAACCGTAAAACTGACTTAAACTGGATTTTTGTCTCTTATCACAAACGCATTATGTGCCTTGATTTATTTTAAGTGAATTCACTTTTCATGAAATTGCAAAAAATAAACAAAAAAAAAAAAAAATGATGTGTGGAGGAAAGTGTTGATCAAAATTTGATTTATATCTTTATTTGTATTCAATGTTTGAATTTTTTATCATTAAAGTTCGTTGAACTACTTTCTCTTTCTCAAGACGGTGGGTCTTTGAACAAACTAAAGCAAACGTTACGGATATCGATGAGACATACGAGAATTGCTCATCACTTTAGCGGCTTTTTGACAGATGAATCGTTGCGGCGAAAGAGTAGCTCTTATTTTTGTCCAAATAATACTGCAACATAAAGTTTTTTATGAATAGTTTATTTGTTGTATTACAACAAATAAACCGTGTGAAAACTTCATGTTGCAGTATTATATGGAGAAAAATAAGAGCTACTGTTTCGCCGCAACGATTCAGATAATCTTTACATAACTTTTGTTTTAGTCGTCTCTCACTATCGCATTCATACTATCATGAATAAATTATGAAAAAATTCCAATAGAAAATCTAGTTAAAACCAGTTTACCGTGTTTTTATTCTCATTAAAAGTGTCACAAGATGTGATTAGGTCATCTATTTACATGAACTATGTGTTCTCATATCGCATTAGCTTAGTACAACAACGTAGTACGAGAGAACGAGAGAGGTAGAGAGAGAGATACAAATAGAGTCGTAACAGCTGTATCTGTTCACTGCAGATTTTTTTCTTCGTCTATTTTAAAAGCAGAACGTAAAAATAGAAGAAAATTTCCACGACTTGCGCAAAAATATTATACCATATCGGTTTTTATTGCATTCTATTATCAAACGTAAGCAAGCCAGTAGTTTTATAGTATAAGTGCAAGAAATGCAATTTCATTCAACAAATTATTTTTGCAACAAAAAACCACAACAACTTACGTTTATTCCATTATAATAGCAAATTTTGCTATTTACTCGGAATCCGAGTGTAAATGGCCATTGTCGTTGTTTCGAATCGATTTGTGTGACATGAAAAGTACTTTCGAAGTGTGACATGAAAATATTTGCAAGAAAAAAAATGTCAGTTTTTATTGTATTTTATTTCATTCAAATAATTGTGTTGGCTTGTTTACAAAATCTTTTCACAATATCCCAATTCGACAACATCTTCAAAGACACCATTCAAGCGTCTCTCAAATTCCAGTTGGGCTTTTCCGCTCAAGTCACCAACTAAACCATCGGAATTTTTTTCTCCATTCACTGCTTTATCACACATATCATCCAAATTCGTTAAATCACTTAATGATGCCTGAGAGATTTGTATCAGAATTGGCGCTAGCAAAGGTACATAAAGACCACATCGTTTTAATTCAAATTGCAAATTATCAAACGTAAACAATTCGTCCGGATTACTTCCCAGGAGTCTTATGGTTTTCGACAATGATTTATAGTATAATTGAAGTAAATTGTCATAATCCTTGTCCCGTAGTGTTTTATCGGTGGACGTGAAGAGATTGTAAACTATATCGATTGCTGGTGAGCCATAACGAAGAATTTGCCAATCTAAACATCGAATATCTTGGGCAATATCCTGAAAATGGAAATTGTTCGTCAAAAATTGCAATGTTATCCAAGGAATTATGTTTGAGAAAAAAAAGTACAACAACTTACATTTTCATCGAATTTGAATAAAATGTTATTGTTCCAAAAATCGCCTGAAATAGAAGAGTTTCATTATTTGACCAACACCTTTAGAAAGATATAATAATTACCATGGCAAATCACTCCGAAATAATTTGCCGATTTTTCGTTGAGGCATTCATCGAAATATTCTAAAAAGTTATCCTTTAATTTTCTCAAGATATTCTTATGATCTTCACGTTTTAGTGCTGCAATAGCTTGATCGTATGAAGTCTCAAGCATAACTTGACTGGTTTTCGACTCAAAGAAATGTTTGAAAAGATCCGTAAATTTTTTAAATTCAGCAAATTCCTGTGGTCTTTGGTCTTTCATTGCAAATGAGAGCGCATGAAATTTACCAATTTCACGCATCGACAGCCTGGCATTTTCAATCGGTGATGTTTTAACTTTGGGCCACATTTTAAATTGTTGCGGACGAAGATCTTCTAAAATTATTGCATAGTGCTCATTTTCATGATCGATTGTTGCACCATAGCACTTTGGATATGACAAAAATTGGTCATCCTTCGATAGGCTTTTTTCTTTTTGGAATTTATCAAAACATGGCATAACTTTGGTATAAAAATCAGCCTCACGAGCAAATGCCATATCCGAAATAAATTCCTTTCGGCGATTCTTGGCAAACGGTGCCACCTTGCATATAAGGTGCAATTGTTTTTCGTCGTTTCGCTCCGTAATAGTGATGCACGATAATTCACTCATAAATCCCTCTCCAACTTGTGTGCCTTGTTTCACTTCCATCGAATAATCAATAAAACCATTTTCCCTGCTAATTCGATCCAAATGATCTTGAATATATTTTGGTAGAATTGTTTCACTCATTTTAGTGTAATTACAAAGCGATTCACGATATAACTATATACAAATTGAAGGAAGTTGGCCGTATTTATAGCATAAATTCAGCGATTCATTCACTAGAGAACGATATCATTGTATCAATAGTACAGGTACAATTTATCAATAAAATATCTTACATCCGTAAGATGAACTTTTCCGCACTGTGATCCACAACATGCATTTATTACAAATCTTTTACTCAAAGAATTCACGAGAAAACTGAATCTGACATTAGTTTTACGATACAAATAATTTTCGAAGCACTTTTCATACAAAAACTACTAAAAATAGGAATTTTTGTATCGCAGCCATGCCTATATGATATCGTAATCATGTGAAAATTTGCAGAGGTTATTTTTTTCACAAAAAGTTAACATTCTGAAAGTTTGAAGAAATTTCAATGCATATTAAGGGTACTTCCCATACAAAATTTCGTTTTTGAGCGAAAAATCCAAAATTTTGTTCGGGAGGTACCCCTAATATGCGTTGAAATGTCTTCAAACTGTCGGAATGGCATTTTTGTGTGATAAAAATAACCTGTGCAAAGTTTCAGCCTATTATGATATCATACAGGCATGGCTTCCATACATAAATTCAATTTTTTTGACATTTTTGTATGAAAAGTATGTCGAAAGTTATTTGTATCGCAAAACTAACGTCATATTCGGTTTTCTCGTACCTAAAAACCCCCCAATACACATTTTTTAAAATTTAAATATCACTTTTGGAAGAAAAATTGAATTTTTTTCATGGATGCCCATGGGCATCACACCAGACATCACACTTTACTCTATCAACCAAAGTCGCTCAAAATCTAATGGTTTCTATTCCTCGGCACTTCCAATCATCCTGTGAAGTCAGATTTTGAATTACTTTTCTTGTTTGAAAGTTATCGTGTTAACAAATTTTTGCGTACAGGGTACGTACATACATTCGGACATCGAAAAAACGCTAGATTCGTGTTTCCTGGCCCCAAAAACACCCAAAAAACACATTTTTGATGGGTGTTAATTTTTCGACCGATTCCAATACTTTACCCTACAAACTAGGTGTGTGCGGAAAAGTAATAAGCTCAAGTACGAGAAGGTTATTCGTTCGATTAATGTCATTATAAATTACAATTGATGTATTACAATGCACATTTTTTGCAATATACATTTTATCTCTAATTTAACACTTGACAATAATTGAGGAACTAGAATTGTTGCGCATGATGATGCAAGTTTGTTTGTTTTGCATTCAGATTGTATAAAACACCCAACAAAACGTATAATCAAGTGTCTCCAATATAAAAATGAATATGAACTTCAAACCATATATTCAGAGGCAGACGTCGCGTGTAAGGCAATAAAAAGACTTGTAATTGACTGCATCCGTGTGATGGGTGTCAAATAAAAAATATAAAAAATTATAAAATGTACTCTCATCCGTAGTAAGTTTTGAACCGATAAAAATTACGACACATTATCATTATACTTGTAAACATTTTATCACTTTTAGAAATAATGGAAATCAAGATAATCTCTCATTGTGGATTCGAATCATTTTGATGTCATTTGAGGAAAGGCGAATTTCAAATCAAATAATTATTTTTCGTGATATTGCACTTTAATAAAGTGTCAGGAGATGTCTTGCGAATCGCGATCAGACCATATACTGAGCATAGATATTTATCCGAGATATTTTGTGGGTATCCGATAATTAACGCAACACTCCATGCATTATTGCTCTTTCTAAACGAACTGTGTACAAGACTTGAATCGACGTGTTTGACTTAAACACAATTCGTTTGAAGGAGTAATAATGCACAGATCGACGTTCATGCTTACACACTAACTCATTGTTTTCCTCGTTTGTCTGCGATGTACGAGCGAGCATCTTTGTGTGAGTATAAAGCACAGCACATGCGTGTGAGTGTATAAGTATTAGCGTCGATCTGTGCATTATTACCCCTTCCATCGTATTGTTTTTAAGGTACACACGCCAATTCGAGTCTCACACACACTTCGTTTAGAAGAAGCAATAATGCATGGACGGTTGCGTTAATTATCGGATTCTCACAAAATATCTCGGATGAATATCTATGCTCAGTATATGGTCTGCTCGCGATCATTCTTGGATAGTAAATTTGGTTGTTCACTGAAATAAAACTATTCAAATGTTGCGTGATACATGCAAAAATCAACTGAAATCATGATAACATATTACTTTTCATGTTATACATAATATTCACTGCTTTAATAGTTCTTTAAAAACAATTTAGATGAATTTTGAATAATCCAACGCAACAACAATGAAAATATTTTAAGGTACAGCATGAGAGTTCCGACTTCCGACCATGTCATTTGGATACTGTACAAGATTTTTTTTTTCAATGTTTTCGAACTTTGGTTTGCGCTATTAAAAATATTATCATTACTTGTTAAACAAATGTGACCACAAAGTACTATTGTGATCAAAAAGTACACATAATTGATGATTTCAAATGCGCGGGATTTTTGTGGGTTGGTAGCACTGTCATTTATAACTGTACAAAATATCATGTCAATATCTGCATCACATGTTGAGTTACACTTGTTGATGTGCATACACAAAATTTCTTTTGGCGATTTTCATAATGACAAATTTTATTGAGCAAAAAATTTGCATTAAATTTTGTGTGCGGAACGAAATTTCGGCCATAAAAACGTGTGAAATGTTAGAAAAGGCCTTCAGTGATCAATCCATGTCTAGACCAACTATTTATGAGTGGCATAAGAAGTTCAAAGAGGGCAGAGATGAAATGCGATCCGGACGACCAACAACGTCAACTAATCAACAACACGTCAAGAAAATAAAAGATCTTGTGCTAAAAAACCGTCGATTGGCAATTAGAGGCCTTGTTGATATTGCTGGCATTTCATTTGGGTCGATCCAACCCATTTTAAAAGATCATTTGGGTCTCAGTGTGTGTCAAGAAATGCTTTCTGACTATCAATCGTGCATAAAACGGATCATTACGGGAGATGAGACTTGGATCTATGCATACGACCCAGAAACAGCCGATCAGTCCGCCGAATATCGTTTAAAAGGTGAAGCCAAACCAAAAAAAAATCTCGTCAAAGTCGGTCAAAAATCAAGGTTATTTTGACAGTATTTTTCGATTATCGTGGCGTGGTGCATTCCGAATTTCTTCCAAGGGGCCAAACTGTCAACAAAGAATATTATCTGAGTCTTATGCGTCGTTTGCGTGAAGCAATTCGCAAAAAGCGACCAGAATTATGGCAAGACAATTCTTGGTTTTTGCATCACGATAATGCACCCGCTCACACTGCATTAATTATTCGTGATCATTTCGCCAAAAATTCAACTCATATCGTTCCGCAACCTCCATATTCGCCTGATTTGGCACCGTGTGACTTCTGGCTCTTCTCTACACTCCAAAAACCGCTCCGTGGACATCGTTTCGAGTCGATTGAAGAGATTGAACGCGAATCGCTACGTGAATTGAAGGCCAAGTAGGTTTTCACACTGTTTCGAAGACTGGAAAAAACGTTGGCGTATGTGCATTGCGGCCGAGGGGGATTACTTCGAAGGCGACGAAATGAATTTAGAAGAATAAATAAAGATATTTAATTTTTTTAATCAATTATGTGTACTTTTTGATCACAATTCTGAAATTATCAAATAGACTAATACACACAGAGATATTCTTGTACTACATTATGCCAAAAATAGTATTAAAAATTGACGTATCAGAATTACAGATCAAAGTCAAAGATTCATGCGATTTATAGCATTGTACTATGAAAACCAGACATTAGGTTTGAGCTATGGATATAGCGGCTGCTATTTCATAGCCGCTATTCATAGGCGCTATTTAATTCGTGTGCTGTGTGTAACACCGAGTAGGAATATCATAGCCAACTATTCTTTTGTACATTTAAATGTGAGTAGGAGAGAGATGTAGAAAATAACGCACAATATGCATAAATGCATTAAAACGAGATAAATAGTGCCTATGAATAGCGCCTATGAAATAGCAGCTGCTATATCCATAGCTCAAACCTGATGTCTGATGAAAACACCAACATCAATTTAAGATTATGTATTGAAATTTGACAAGTTATATAATTCTAAAAATTGTATGTAGTGGTAAGATTTATCAGCTGGTCTGATATGTCCAATTATAATGCTATTTTCAGCATAATGTAGTACTAGAATATTTCTGTGTGTAGATTGGTGTTGTTATCTATTTTTACGCTTGATTGGTAATATTATTGAACACAAACTAGGCAACCAAGTCCACTGTCAATCGAATATATACTACATTCACGACACCAGCTGATCGTAAACAATGTTATTTTTGTTATATGGAAGTGACAGTGTAAATATTTTGCCGCTTACACTTTTATATTGTTTGTCATTGTTTTTATAGCAATTTGTCATTTAGACTGGCTTTTGTCAGTTGGCTTTAGTCAAAAACGTCCCAAATTAGTTAACTGACTAGTCAGTCAGTAATTTTCCACAAGGGCTACTGATCGTTTTATTAAATTTGAATTAATAGCACAATCGTTTTATTCTTCATGTACATTGAATCGTAGTATTCATTTGAATACTTGAAAATTAGTGTGAGCCATGCATTCTAATTATTCTTTGCTCAAAGCTGTATGTGATTTCTCACAAGACTCTCATGCGATTTGGCGTAGATTACATACAGTGTAATAAAATCATTTTAATTGTGCGTTATTTGGAGAGATAAAAGCACCCAAATGAACAATATATAATTTAGTATACTATTATTTCAATAAACAAAGATATATCAACTGAATTACTACAACGCTTATTTCTTATCAGACAAATTTAAAATGTATGAAACAATATTTATACTTTGAAGTGAAATTTAATCTTTATTTTATTCGTTGATTTTGAATTTCAAAGCTCACGAAATGATAATTTGAGATTTTTGTTTGTCAAAATGAAACAAGACATTTAATTGGCATTGTTAATGTAACCAAGTCTGATGACATCCTCAAAGACATCATTCAAACGCTGTTCGTATATCAATTGTGCCTCTTCATTTAAATCATTAACCAATCCATCTGAATTATTCCCATTCGCCATTTTGTCGCACATTTCATTCAAATTTGCCACTTCATTTGTGTCAGCCTGTTGCACCTGAATTGATAGCGGCGCCAGCAATAGTGCAAAACTGCCACATCTTTTCAGCTCCGATTGCAAATTTTCATATGTAAATAATTCCGGACTACTTCCCAGCAACTTTACAGTTTTCGACAACGATTCATAGTATAATTGAAGTAAATTGTCATACTCCTTGTCCCGAAGTGTCTTATCAGTGGACGTGAATAGATAAAAGAGCAGATCGATTGCTGGTGAACCATATCGTATCACTGGCCAATCCAAAAATCGAATATCTTCGGCGGCACCCTATATTGAATATGTAAATGATTAAATAGTATCCATTAGGGTGACAATAGACAAAAAACTTACATTCTCATTGAACTTGAATAAACAGTTATTAGTCCAAAAGTCACCTAAAAATGGAAAAAATTTCAATTTTAACGATGTAAATGGAACAGAGATAACGATAAAAAAAATACCATGGCAAATCACTCCGAAATAAGTTGATGACTTTTCATTGAGACATTCATCGAAATATTCCAAAAAGTTGTTCTTTAAATCACACATCACATTTTTATAGTTTTCACTTTTCAACGATACAATAGCTTGTTCATAGGAGTCATTTATCATATCTTGCATGTTTTGTGATTCAAAGAAAATCTTGTAAATATCCGTAAATTGTTCAAACTCAGCAAATTCGTCTGGTCTCTGATCTTTCATTGCAAATGAGATTCCATGAAATTTACCAATTTCACGCATTGCCAACCGTACATTTTCAAAGGGTGAGGTCTTAGCTTTGTCCCATGATTTGAATTCTTGATGACTAAGATCTTCCAATATAATTGCGTAATTCTCGTTTTTATCATCAATAATTGCACCATAACACTTTGGATAGGCCAGAAACTGATCGTCTTTCGATAGATTCTTGTCTTCTTGAAATTTACTAAAACTTGGCATCAAGTTGGTGTAAAAGTCTGCTTCACGTTTGAAAGAAACATTGGATATGAATTCTTTTCGACGATTTCGGCTCAATGGTGCCACTTTGCATACAAGATACAATTTTTCATCACTATTGTGCTCAGCAATTGTTACACTCCATAATACACTCATGAGCCCATCACCTGTCTGTGTGCCTTGCTTCACTTGCATCGAATAATCAATAAAACCATTTTCATTGCTAATTCGATCCAAATGATCTTGAATATATTTTGGTAAAGTTATTTCACTCATTTTGATGCCTTACGAAAGGTGTCACTAAACAATTCTGTCAACCGTATGGAATTCACAACGTTTATATGATTCTTCATTATCAGCAACTTTTACGATTGTCAGATATCGCGAATAAATAAAGCTTGAAAAAATAAACAGCAGCAAGGTAATATTTTTATTGGAAAATTACTCACTTTTGGTTTTACACCATATGAACTTAAGAGAAGCGCTGAACATGAAACTATAGAGCAACGATTTTTCCTGGTGTGAACAGTTTCCTGAAATCTTCATTTTTTGAATTCTCTTTAATTATAGGTTTGAGTGATGATAACATTCGTAATTTATATTTCGAATGGTTTTTATTTGAAATGTTGGTATTTTTGCTAAATGTATATTGTACATCAAGCTTTAAAATCGTTTTCGATTTGTTTGTACCACGCATAACTCAAACCTGGTTCAGTTATCAACCTATAACCAATTTTTTCGAATTCCTAAGCCAAATCCACAAAAACCATATTTTTCGTTGGAAAATTATTTTCCTTAGAGGTTCTTCCTAAGAATATTGATTTGTACTATGGTTTCATTAAATTCCCGACCGATTGACAGTTGGTTGGCAATATTGCATTTGTTACAATATAGTCATCTTACTCACTCTACAATGCTATTAAGAAGCATGTGATGATAAACAAATAAAAATGTAAACAAGCCACACGCGACTGCAAAATGCCGAATATGGGCTTATGTGTATTCGTGCGCGCGTCTCTCTCACTCATATCAATTCATGCTTAAACATAATATTGCGCAGTAGAAATTTCGTAATCATAGGCAGTACGTGTGTCGAGTGAGAACTTTATTCCGAATGTGAACCAATACATACACACGCTTTTTTATTGGTTTCTCATTAATGCGTCGCATAAAATAAGTAAATGTATTCAGGGCTGTATAATACTTATTATCCAATTCCTTTCGGGACTACGTTTTTTAAAATGAATTGCATCCATTTATTTTGACAATGTTGAAATAAATATATTTAATTTTTTTGAATGGCTGGAATGTTAATAATAAATTAAATAAAAATTGTAATACAAATGGTCTGTTTTTCTCGTTTTTCCGGTTTGAAAAACTACCAATCGATTTTTCTCGCTTTTCCGATGGAAATATCGAAAAAATAAAAAAAATTGACTAGGCATGTTATCCCCATATGTGCTCAACACCCAGAACACTTTGGACCAGGTTGGGTCCACCTGCTCCTCAAGATTCACTTCCAGCTCATGTCATCAAAAAAACTCCCGATCGATCTTTTACGCTTTTCCGGTGAGTTCAGTTAAGGTTTTTGAACCACGAATACCCTCAGAAAGGAATGACATTCTTAAGATTTAAGAATTAAGATTGCGTAAAAGATCAATCGGGAGTTTTTTGATGACATGAGCTGGAAGTGAATCTTGAGGAGCAGGTAGACCCAACCTGGTCCAAAGTGTTCTGGGTGTTGAGCATGCCCAGCCAATTTTTTTTATTTCTTCGATATTTCCAACCGAAATGCGTAAAAGATCGATCGGGAGTTTTTTTTGATGACATGAGCTGGAAGTGAATCTTGAGGAGCAGGTGGACCAAACCTGGTCCAAAGTGTTCTGGGTGTTGAGCACATATGGGAGTAACATGCCCACACACAAACTATTTTTGCTGTATGGGTTACAACAAAACTTAGCTATCAGACGCGATACAGTATTTTACTGTAGTTTAAGTCAAAATTACAATATTTTGCTGCAACTTATTTTAATTTTTATTTAAATTCAATGGAATCTTATATTTTAAAATATCCAGTGATTAAACCATTTTTTGGTTTGATACTTTGAACAACCCGGAGCATGCGGAACGGTTTCAAAATGATTTGCACTGGTGTATATACACTATTGTAAAGTATGTATTCGTATCTGGTTGCGTGCTATGCTAGCAGCTGTACGCGACTGTGTGTGTGTGTGTGTGTGTTTACACATGGCAACTATATGTGCATTTATATATGCGTCACGCTCTCTCTACAACGCATATATGTTATGAACATTATGTGGTTGGCAAAACTTCTTTCATTTTTCAACATTTTATTTAAACGTCAATCGGTCGGGAATTTAATGAAACCATAGTACGTTGTAACTTCAGTTTATCTTCCCCGATTTTGATTAAAATTGCACAGATTGTAGCTCTCTAGATGTCCCTTCGAAAAAACATAGATAGAATACTCGGTCGACGTTGTGACGCGTTGTGAAGAGTTGCTCTAGTACGAAAGCTAACAGGTTTCGGTGTAAATTCAATTGGAGTAAATGTCAATATAATTCGAACTGGATTCCTACGATTTTGATTAAAATTGTTATGTTTGCCGCAGAATCCCGCGGTGCCGGATATATTTTTTTTTTAATTCAACTTGTATACATCAAGCATTACTTTCTTGGAACAGCGAATTTTACTTGAAATTTATTAAATTAGTCAGATTTTTTGTGGATCATACTGATAAATGCAGATAAGCAATTCAAGTGATACGACAGTGTGTAATTAAGATAATTTTGGTAATATTATTATAAGCATCTCGATTTTAATATTTTCATATCAGATAACAGTGAAGTGTTCTCATACAAACCGATTTCGAAGCGGTATCTTGCATTGGTTTCGTATCGTTGTGTACGTGAATAGCAATGCTTTGAATATATGAATGTACAACGTTGCTGCTATATACACTGTTCAGCACATCGCAGTGCAAACCATTTCTTACAGACATACCGTTTCTTAACCATAAAAGTTCGTTCACGAGAATGGTCTTTACGAACTCAAAACCTTTTAGAAATCGAAAAACAGTTGGAAAATGGTTTTGAATAATATTTTTTATAAACGATGATGTGTTTGGCTGTCTTTCTGCGCTATATAAAAAGGTTTTCGAACTATAACGCATTTCTTCATTTCAGTTAGAAACAAATGATGAACACATAACATATTAAAAACACTTGTGTTGCCTTGGCTTTATATTTGCGTCCAAAACTATCTTATTTGGCTTCTCACGTTAAATAATTATTAAATATGTAAATATTAATACTGTGTCGTACCGTACTCGTACGTCAATTTAGGAATTCCAATGAAAAACAGTCAACACAAAATAGAAATATTATTAAAAATTTACAACAGAAGTTGGATTGAAATTCAAATTTTTTGGTTTGCGTCGCTCTATAAAAGGCTCTTGGCTGGATGATCGAATGTTTTTCAATGTGAATTGGCCAAGAAAATTGAAATGAGTTCGATAAAGATCATCGCATTGTTTATAGGTAATTTTTATTTTTTTATTGTAATATTTAAATTTATTTCAAAAGAATTAATAAAACAATATTGTTTTTTATGCAGCTATGCTAGCTGTAGTTTCTATTGCAGTAGCAGAAACTCGTAGAATGAGGTTATTAGTTGAAAACAACACACCTTATATAATGGCTAAAACAAATCAAACAAATAGACAAGTTAAATTTTTGGTTGACACTGGAGCGATGTCATCTGTTATAGCAGGAGATATGCTTAAATCAACGGCAATTTTATATGGTGAGCCCATAACATTTCTTGGAAATAATAACGATGGAACAGAATTCTCAACAAATGGAATGGTGGATATTGTTCTTCCACGAGATCTTGGTTCATTGACATTACCAGTATGTGTAATGAACAGAAACAACTTGGGTGGCAATGACGGTATACTTGGACTCGATATCATACTGAGATATTATATGACAATTAACATCCCCTCTCGGTATATTCAATATTTCGTATCAAATACAGGTCCAAGTGGATCAAAATTAACAAGGCTATTATCAAAAGTTAAAACATAAACAATATTCTATCACATGCTTGATGATTTTGATGAATTATTCAATTTTTTTCTACTCACATTTTACAAATCAGCAATTTTTGTATGGTGATGTTACATTTCAATAAACTCTGAAGAGAAGTCTCACATTTATATAAATATCAATTGATACAGAAAAATAATGTACTTTTATTGATAAAATTAATATGGGTTCCATTTCACTTAATCAGCTTTTTTCACTTTCACTTAATGATCTTACATTCATAGATCTAAGTTTTTAGCAGACCTAGACACTAGAAGGTTAATACAAAGGAGATGTATTAAAAATGAAAGGAATTAAAAAATAAAGTTTGAAACCATTTCGATTGTAAAAAGTTTTTTTTTTATATTTCAGTAAGTTGTTACAATATTGGAAGTTCATGGCATTTTTAATGAAAATTCCTTGATATTTTTTTTTATAAAATGATTGATTATTCTGAATCAGATAAAGAATAATATTCTGACAAAGTCCGTGATAAATTCTTTAATAAATTTTTCGATGATTGTCGTGATAGTTGCCTCTCCAATCTTCTCCCAGTTAGTACTGAAGTATTTCTCTGGACCTCTCCTACTTCATAATCGATATAATTTTCAGGGATGTTAATTATCATTTGGAACGCCTCCATAAGATCAAATCCGAATAAACCATCTTCTCCTCCTATAAGTGCTCTGTCCATTACATTTACTGTTATTTTCAAGGAATCAAAATCTCGTGGAAAAAAAATATCCGCCATTCCATACGTTACGACTGGAGTATCATCTAGATTACAGCTCGCACTTCTTACAGGCTGACCATATATGTTTACATTCGGTTTTAGTAAATCTTTTGCAATAAAAGTTGACGACGCTCCAGTGTCAAACAAGAATTTAACTGGTCTATTTGTTTGATTTGATCTAGTCATTATATAAGGTGACTCGTTTTCAACTAATACCCTCATTCTACGAGTATCTGCTACTGAAACCGAAATTACAGCCAGTATAGCTGCATAAAAACAATATTTTTTTTTATTAATTCCTTTAAAATAATATAAAATACCCATTACAATAAAAAAGAAATAAGAATTACCCATAAACAATGCGATGATCTTTATCGAGCTCATTTTTATTTTCTCGAGTGTTCGCCAATTCACGTGCAGTTGAAAAACCATCTACGGCTTTTATAGAGCGATTCAAGCCAAATAATTGAATTTCAATCTATCTTCTGTAGTAAATTGTCAAGAATATTTTTTATTTTGTGTTGAATCATTCAACATTCAAATTGAATGTTTTTTATTGAAATTCCTAAATTGACGCACGGAACAGTATTATTTCACCATAAGCTCGACACGTTTACATATTCTTTACTTTGTATATTCTTTGTTTACATATTCTTTACGTTTACATATTTTTTACTTTTTTTTATTTTTTCTTTAATACTATTTTCTACCTTGATCAAGTTTAAACTACTAAGGAGAGACTAAAATCTAATTAAAATTATTAACCAATAAAAATGACGCAATAGTTTGTCTACAGTTTAGAAGGTAACACATGTGTTACTCAAAAATATATTTAATATGTTCATCGATTGTTTCTAACCGTATCACGTATATACTATCCATTTTTGTTGTCAAGAGGACTCCACAGCAATAAAACGACAACAACAATAACACATATTTTTACTGTCAAAATTTTGATGTCAAATGGTGTCGACATTGGTGACGGTATTTTGAAACAGACTGTGTAATCCATATTCATCGTATATGATCCTATGTAAAGTTCTATACTTGATCTAGTTCACATTGACGGTTCAAATCGTTTATGTCCACGGTAGTAGGGATTTCATTGCTGTGGAGGATTCGCTTGAAAAAGATATAGCAAAACACACTCATATTTATCAAAAACTGATCTTGTTGCTTAGCCTGCATTAGCATTTCCACCACTATTCGACTGTGATTGTGCACAATAGTTGGTGCTTTTCAAAAAGAATCATTTACCATAAAGAATATTCTCGTCTAAAGATATATTCCATTAACCTTCATACAATTAATCTTAATGTACTACAACGCCTGATGGGTCACCACTCTGGGATATTGCATGAATTCAAAATGTTACTTGAGTATAAACAGCCAATTTTGGTTTTCCGGAAAACTCTCTAGGAAAATTGTGGAAAATCCTGACGTGATAGAGAAAAACGGGTGATGCCATTGAAATCAGCATACCCAAATTATGTAAAAACGGTGGGTCTCGTTTCTGTCACATTTTAAAAGTTAAAAAATGACGCACAGTGTTATTTTTATTTTCTCATTGTCAAATACATATCAAATAAATATTTTGAAAAAAAAATAGAATTAAACTTTTTCAGCTACAATAATAGTAATCATTGGCCACATTAAATGGTAAGCTGCAAACACCACAAAGATTTGCTTTGATTGACGATGGAACTTGAATCGTTAGAATGTCAGCACGAGAGTATTGAATTTGAATGCTCTTAAAAAGTTCGAATATGATCAAATTTTCGGCATTAACGTGTATACTGAAAACAAAAGAAACATACATTTGAAGAAGAAAAAATTGTTTGCGCTACAACAAAATGTTTCGAGTATGTTTACCTTAGTTCTACTGTTTCACCAAACGGTGTTATCAGTGACGTAATTTCAATTTCAGTTGAATTTTCCAATCGAATGAAATCTTTTCCATTCACGTATGGTGTATACCAAATCACGAGGCCATCTATATGCAATTCCAGTTCAAATGCATCCCGATGAAGCTCACGGCGGGCTGGCTTTAAAAATACTGCAAACCGAGATGTATACGTACATTCCGCTACTAATAATACTGAACAATTGGGTTTGGCATTATTTTCCAAGTTGATCGGTTTATCGTCGAACGAATTCACAGTTGACGATACTATTGAGCACATGTCTAAACGACCAAGGAGAAGAAGAAAAAAAACGACTCGTATCCAAGAACCAACTATTCAACTGAATACACACTTACGTGCATTGCCAATGCTCAACGCCAACTGTTCAGGTCGATCAAATTTGGCGTCTGGATTTCGATTAATCCACAGTGGCAAATTGGGTATCGTTACATTTCTCCCATTCAGACTTGCTTTCAATTGCAATTTTTCGGAGAATGTATTTACTCGTGCATCAATTTCTTCGGCGAATTTATATAAATCAATATCAACTGACAATGATGTGATGAAGTAGTCGAAGCGTGTCAGAGTATGCTCCAGCCATAAGGGATTCTTTAATTAATTTTATTGTAGAAATAAATTTTGTTTTAATAAAAAGTTGCATAAAGACAAATAAAATACAACGAAAAATCATTTAAACTTACATTGTGGAAGGTAACATTCAACCCGTATTCATGAATTGTGGTTAAGTCTCGATAAACATTTTGATCACATTGTTTATTTTGTGGTGGTGGACTGAATTTAAGCACTTCACGAGGACAATGCTTCGTGTCTGGTAATTTTTCGTACGCACTTTTTGCCGTTGACAAAGTGTCGGCGAATAATTCAAAATTGATTTTCGTCGGATTTTGCAGTAGTGTTGTTGTCGTCTCGTTTTTATCACCAAATGATATAACGCCCTGCAGCAAATATGGTTGCTTTAAAAATACAATGGGTTCATATGTTGCGTCACCAGTCAACTGAAATGAAAAGTCACATTCAAAATGATTAATTTAAGAACGTGAGTAAAACACAGCCACGATTAATTGCTCATGGTATGCTGCGCATCGCACATTCTTTGAGTCTTGCATTTTAATTTTATTTAATTTGTGGCATACAAACTCGACTGTGATCAACTCATTAAAGCAAACATTAAAGTGCAACTTCTAAGAATCTGACACACTGTATACTGTACAGTGTACAGCTGAAACAACAGACACCCCGAATGTCTTTGATGTGCTTTAATCATTACAGTGAGGTATATTGTTACTGGGGAGGTATTGCTACTAAAGAATTATGCTTCGTAAACGTCGAAAACTTGGAATATGTATTATGCATGGTATATAAATGCAAACATTTTATTAAATCGATGAAATTGTTTGAATTCCGTGACTGAAACTGCTGGAAAATACCGAGTCGATTGCAGCTGTTTTGTAAACATAATTACATAGTTGCATGGTAACGAGAAATGATGTCAAGGCCGAAAAACTGATTTTTTTCTCACTTTATACACATTGCTGCCTTAGTGAACTATCGAGAATTTTCGTAATTTTATTTGCGAAAGACATGTCCATGTACATGTGTAGACATACACTATCGATGTTGTACTAAAACTAGGGCTTTAATACGAAGAAAACACAAGTGCTATTAAAATCAGAAGATTTGGCCCGAAGTTTGATCAATACAGAGTACAAGCAAGTTATTGAATGAGGTTCGTGCGCTTTTGGTAGATATTGGTAAATGTCAGCACTTTTTACTTGTGGTAGGTTTGAGTTTTTGCGAATAAAAAAGAAGAATGTAAATATTTCGCATTGGAAGAGCTTAGCGTGCGGTAGTGAAAAATATTGCGCTCCCAGCATTTTTCTCTTGAATAATATTCCAAAATGAATGCGGTAAGTGAAATTTTCTCAAATTGAATTCAATTAAGATTAATAATTAAAATACTATTCAATTTTCGTGTAGATTGATTTAAAACGTGTTGAATTTCGACATTACTTGGAAGCATGTGGGGTGATGGATGCATTGAGCTATGCACTCATTAAACTTTACGACGAAGTTGATAAGCCATCCGATCCCGTTGCATTTGTTCGACGACATTTTAAGCGTCCAATCGATGAAACTGATACCACTGACATACCTAGGCGTATTGAAGACTTGGATGTATCGGAATTGATAAAAAAACAAGACCATGAATTGAATTTGGCTCGACAGGAAATTGCCAAATTGCAACAAATGCTCAATTCAATGTCATCGTATTCGTAAGAATTTCATTTGAGTTTTTAATAATTTTTTAATTAAAAAACTGTGTATTTTGATGAAAATTTAAACGAAATATGTTGCAGACCTCTTGACGAAAATGCCGATGCAAAAGCTCGTGATAAACAAGATATGTATCATGAAATGTTCAACGATCCAAAATACGATGGAATTTTAATCAAGAAATATTTAACAGAGGAATTGTTCCGAAAATTGTACAAACTTCAAGATAATGAACCATCAATTATTGATTGCATTGCAAAAGTGAATGAATTGCAGGCAAATCCATTTGGTGTATATCCATTGAATGGAAAATGTTACAGCAAGTTTAGAGCTTTATTCGAACCAATTATCAAAGATATTCATTGCATTGATGATGAGTTTCACAACCATCCGGATTGTGATTGGGGCGATGTAAACGCATTCGAAATATTTGAAAACGAACGGATTGAATCGATTGAAATCAGTTGCGTTCGTTCATTGGCCAATATGCCATTCATAAAATCGGGTATAAACGAACAAGATTTGGAAATTATCCTAAATACGGTACGTGTTATGATGATATCCATCTGTTTCGAACGAATATTCGATAAGAAGCTTAACATTTTAGGTACAAAATGCAATTCAATCCAATGATGATATCGATGACAAGGAAATCGATGGTGAATTTTATAAAATCTCGGATATAACAGAGAACGAGCCGATTTTCATGGAATTACAAACGAATGGCATTGGTTTTCGTTCGATGAAGCCACATGAGCATACTTTATGGCCAACAGGGCGGGGGCTTTACATCAATTGTGCACGCACTCAATCGATTCTCATCAATGAACAGGAGCACTTGCGATTCATAAGCAAAGAAAAGAATGGCAATTTTGGTGATTTGAAGATAGAAGATTTTCGAACCTTTGCATTGTTTCATCAGAAGTATTTAAATTTCCAATTGTTACAATTAACATTTTTTTTGCTTGGGTTTAGGTTCGGTTTACAAGAATTTGACGGATTTGGTTGACAAATTCAGCAATGGATTAGAATTTGAACGTAACGAAAGGTTTGGATGGCTTACAGCAAATATTGAAGCGCTTGGCACTGGAATTTGTTGTAAAATACGATTGAAACTTAAGCAAACCACCGATTGCATCGAGGAAATTTGTAAAAAATTACGCATCAAAATCACACCGATTGAAGTGGAAAATGAATGTATTGTGGAATTGACAAACGGTGGTCGCACATTTGGTGTGTCCGAATTTGAATGTGTCAAAGTATTTTACGATGGTATCAAAGAAATTCTTCAAATTCTATCCGAAAATCAAGTGCATGCGGAGACGAATGAGGAACATAAAACTGTGATAGAATCAAACTCACAGGAACCACGTGAAAATGAGAATGAAGTAAATAACGAGGTGAGCAATGCCGATGTTAAGATGGAAAATGAACAATCTGTGGTTGAAAACGATGCCACTAAAAATGAGAGAAATTGTGACGAGCCAAAAGCTGAAGGTGAAAACATTCCAATTGAACTTTCAAACACAGATGAAGGTAATAATGAAAAATCTCAAAGCGATGAAAATGTTGCAAATCTGCCTCAAACCAGCGACACCAATGACGATAATATTAATAAGATGTCGGTTGAAGCAGAACAAATTGAAAAAGATACTATTGAAAATGATGAAACGCAAGCCAATCAAAGAGAAACCGAAGCCCCCGAAGAAACCGATGATACTGACAAGCAAAGTGTAGAAGAGGCCAAAGTTCAAACAATCGAAGGTGAAGCAGAAGGTTAATTAATGAATATTTTATGAACCTACACACTTAAATTGCACAACAATTTTTAGTTTAAACACTTTCCTTTCAATAAACACATATTCGTTTGTCTTACCATCCAAAGTTCTCGATTTTTATTTGTATGAATAACGGCCAATTGAAGTTTGACTTGATCACTCTTCCGATTTCGATTGACAGCCTTGTTGTTCTGTACGACAAGGATGATGGATAATTTGTGCAGAACATCGTCATCGTGCTTATGTTCAAAGGTCAAATCAACTGTATTCGTTTGAATATCAACCGATGTATCGATTAATGAATTCGTAATGAGCGAAAACCGTCCTTCCAACTGAAAACAACGTTGTTTTTTTTGCGTAAACGAAAGGGTTTGCAATTCAATTTTATTTCGACATACCTTTGTATTCTTTGTATTATGAAATAGCAATGTGAATTTTTTGTTTGTACCAATATGAATATCGTTGACACGCAATAAGCTCCAAAGTTTCATAAGTGGCTCCATTTCATGATAAACACTAAAATGAATCAAACCATGGTGATTAATTTAAGTAGATGGTTGCGATCAACTTACAATGTATTTATCGTAGGGTCCATATGAAACATCAATTTTAAATTGCTCAATATGTGAAAGGGGTGAGAAATGCCGGTTAAATTTAAATCCAAATCTTCAATTTCGTAATTAAATAATTCGCTCGCCTTTTGGAGATTACAAAAAAAAAATTCGCTTAGTCATTAAATATTTTATCTGGAGAGAGAAAGCGAGAAGCGTATGAAATTACCACAAAACTTGGGTCGCCTTCGTAGATGGCAATATCAACGAACGGTTGATCATTTCGTAGCGGTCTACCCTTCGTCATTGTGCGGATTCGTGATTTTAACGAAATGCCACTAATCAAATTACTCGGCCGTTGGAACGAAAACCACAGCGATGACTTTTTTAAATTTAATTTTAAATCATTGTTGATCGGAAGATAAACTAAGAAACCCTGTTCGCGCGAAACTTGATGTTCTGCATTCAAAAAAGGATTGTAACTTTTGCTCGTGACAACGGTAAATGAAGAATAACTGAAAATAAATGTAATCAATTTTAATTGGCTTTTGAGCTATATTCATTCAAAATATATCCATACCGCAAATCAATTTCGTGGCTGCGCCAAATTTCAAATCCCTGAATGTTTTGCGTAATATTGCCACGAATTGAGCACAATATACTACTTTGCATGCTTAAAATGGTCGGAGTTCCAAGTACAGTTGGTACAGAGTAACGGGAATGAAATGGCCATCGAACATTTTGCAAATTTATGTGACTGTCCGTTTGAAGCAGTTTCATTATTCGATTCAGAACTATCGAATAAAAAAAAATCAAGTGAAAAAAATTTGAAATTTGTTGAAAACATTTCGACTTACTGTCGCCTTCGGTCAGTGCATTGAACGATTGTTGATTCAAAAAGAAGAATAAAATGGATTTGCCTTCGATTTGCACGATAATCTCCAAATGAACGGGACTCTTCGTAACGATTGGCATTTTTAACGACGATAAAATCTGTCGTAATTTGTTCAAATTGATGGCTCCACCATTGTTTGTGTTAACCAATTCACCGAAACGAAAATGGTCCAATCCACGCGCTTTGATATACAACTGGAAAATTTGAAAATTTTAATGGCATTTGGGCAAAGAATATTGTTTCTGCTTGGAAAATCATCTACCGTTAATTCATTTGTGTATTTTCCCATGGCTTCTTGCCGTAGTTTGAAAAAGGCAATCTGTGGTAAATGTGTTTTTTCATTGCCAATCAATAGTGTTTGTAACGAGGCACCCAACCCGTATTCGTTGCTGCGATAATCGAATATGTAGTTTCCAGTGACCCAGTAGCGTGTTTTAGGTGCTTTGGGTAAGTGGCGAATCATTCCTGATGCTAAGCGACGCCTGCAAAATGCACATGAAATATTTAAAATTGATTTTCAAAAATATTCGGAAAATGTGGTATGTAATTTACAATTTTTGAAAGCATGGTTGAGTCGTGCCAGCCAGCGATAACAATGTTGTACGATAAAAGTTTACCAAGTGTGGATTCGTTTCGTTTTCCATTAGCGTATGAATGCTCATCAAGCGTGCCGATGTTGGATTGGATGTAAGTAGCGTCATGAACGCGGCAACTCGTAATTCGAGAGTGGCCGTACGATTTTCGAAAATGGGCCAAAATGTTTCGTAATTTGTTCGACGTTCATTTGTGGTCCACTGTTCGGCAACGGATTCTTTTATCAATGTTGCCATAAATCGAACGTCGTCCGATTGCAATTCATCACGTATGATTGGATCCAAATAGTCGGTTACTTTTCCTAGTTTTAAATTTCCCAATGCTTGTAAATACAATAGTTTGTGCTCGTAATCATGACTATCTGCAAATGGGAGAAATGCCAATTAATGCCTATTCTAGCAGTATATTATGAGCATATTCACTTGCCTAGAAATAGATTGAAGAATGTTTTCACATATTTATCAAATGAACTCTCGGATAGTTTTCCGGCAAAAAATGCATTGTGTACAATGGTTGCAAAAGTCAAAATGCCAAGTTGTTGAACATCTGGGCGCTCAATGCCTGAAAGAAATATTGTATTTAAACGAATAAAAAAGAGAATTTCTTCATAACTCGATTGCTTACTAAGTCGCATCAATGGTTCACAATCCGTCACAAGTTCCGAGCTCATTTCAATGATATGAAATGGAATTGTTATTAATAGTTGAATGGCCGTGGTTGGTTTGCATAAATTCTCTACAATTAAATCACGCGTTAGTTGGGTTGATGCTCTGGTACCGGTCCGCGGTATGATATCGTAGAAAAGATTTCGCATTGTTTCTTGACGATACGAGGTGCCAATATTTATCGATTGATACAAAGATTTGAGAGATTCAAAATTGCATTGGCTGAACACACGAATCACATCAACCACGCGATGTTCATACGGTTCATCGAATCGAATATTACTGTTTTCCAAATCATCAGCCAACGATCCGAGCAAATCAATGGCCTCACGAATCAATTCATCGGATTCAAATGTTTGACGCTCACCGCTCACATCGCTCACTGAATGCTCTTCGATAATTAAATTCGATTTGATAGATGCCATATTATTCTGTATATCGATTTCATTCACAATGTCATTCGATGTGGTGAATGTAAGTGTTAATTTTGAAACCACCAGCTGAGTTTCGCCCGTCGACTCGAATGTTTGTAACAACGTATTACCTTCCACGTAGATTCGATGCAAGTAATAGTTTTCAAAATCGTTCGTTGCATTGGTCTGTTCGATGTCTCTTGGTGCCAGATCATACATCATTTCGTTGCCAACAATCACATTCTTTTCCGATTCGCCATCAAAGCATTTTGTTTCAGGCACATTCGAGATCGATTGGTGAATGCCACACGAATGCGGTTGACATGTATAAAGTACCGGATTTTTCCTTATCGATACATGACCATTCGATTTTTTCGTCACATAATATTCCATTGTGCATTTGCCATGAATGCCAAACTGATTGCAAATCAAATAATGACAAATATTTTAAGGTGAAATAATGTGAAAAAGAAGAGAGAGAAACGTATAGATTTATTTTACCTCTTCTTCGAGGAAAGCACCATTCTTTAGGTTTTTCAGCTGAAATGTCGATGCCATTGCACGCTTAAAATTCCTGGACCACAATGTGTCGGATGCTTTAAATTGAACGTAATCTATTGTGTCGTTCACATAAACAATCTTAAATGGATGGTAAAGCGCGTGCATCTCTTTATTTTGATAAAAAACAGCACCATTTCCATTCTGTCTTTCAACCGTTATCTTCTCGACAGCAAGCTTTAAATATAAATAGTAAAAATTCATTGTCATTTTTCGGTTAGTCTCTTTTTTTTGTTCGACTGAGCTAGGTTCAAGATCATGTAGGAAATGAATGCTAACGTAATATTAAAAATAGCTGAAATAAAATTGAAAGAGAGAAAAAAATTGCGTTATTTTATCGCCAAATGTAATGACATCTATGGTGACCTATCACCGCGTCATCATTATCAGGCGTATGTAACTTTTGAATATGTCTACGTGAACGTTGAACGAAAATCGATTAATTTTAGTTGTAAATGATGACTATATCTCTCATATGAAAATATTTCAATAGAATTTAAATGCAGTCATTTGTTTTTCTGGTCCGCATTGATTGACAGCCAAGAAACAAGGCAACCGAGCAATTTGTAAACAATTTTGTCATAATTTCACTGAATCTTTAGCCGATATCAAAAACAAACTCGTTTTTATGAGACGGAATTTTTATTGTGTTTCATACCGAAGCAGCAAGATTTTGATCGTTGTTACGTTGAAATTTAACTGTGCCGCGTATTTTCCATTCGGCTGTTTGTGGTGGTTTTGAATTAATCTGATCCCATGGTGTTTGCGCTGATACACTCACACTTCCTTCGTATTCGTAGATATGTTCACGATTCAATGCCACAAACTCGATGCATCGACATGTTGTCACGCAAGCCAAAATGGCGCCTATGAATACAAACAAAATTAAGCAAAACACTTTGTTATCACGTCAGTTGCATAAGTTCGCATTTGCACACGGTGCAAAGTTCGAATGGAATTATTATACGTATATATTTGCAATTAGAATAAATTTACGAAGATATTAACGTGAATAACGTACATAGAAATAAGTTTGTTATATCCATTACAAAATTACACTTTCAATAACTTTGTTTTTTCCCCTTTGAAAGATTAATACATTTGAAAATTGTTTAACATTCACTTCAGTCTTTCTGATCGACGGCCAAAATATAACTGATGCCATAATCTTGTTTTTCATTTCATTTGGCATTTAGTTGAGACGATTCAAAGGCCGTTATCAATACACACATATCAGGCACAAAGTACGATAGAAAAGGCTCGTTGCAGTGACCATTTAAATTGATAACAATTCGAAAAACTATTCCTATTTCGTGAATATCACAAAATTCAATGCCATATAAGACTATTAGTTTTTGCGTAGACGTAAATATTATGGATTATTTCATGTAAACAGTATTGAGCCGAGTGAATCACTTGCGATGAGTCATTTTCTTATATAAAATCATTTTCATATACATTATTCATTTCACGATGATTGTTATTTTTTTTCTCTTTTAATTAAAACGATAAATTACGCATTTAATCCTGTTAAAAATGAAATTAGCGAAAGGAAGAGAATTTCCATTAAAAGAAGCAATTTATTTTCTATGCCTTTGCATGTGTTTGCTGTTAGTCGTTTTTTCGAAAGACAAAGAAACAAAAACACTCTTAAATTGAAAACAACGAATTTACTATAGACAGAAGGGAATTTAATTTTAACTGTCAACAAACTTTTCGGAAGAAGATTTAAATGTGCATATATTTGTTCAAAGAAAGCACATTATTACTTTTGTTTTTCGCACAGCATTTCCCCTGCGGCATAATGTTAACATCATTATGATTATGCAATTTATTGCCAATCATTTTAAATGGTGTAGATGTGTTCCATAAGAAATTATTAGCCAGAACGAAATGGACTTTCTTCTCATTTGTTCAGTGAATAGAAAAATAGACTTTCGGATAAAAGCACATTTGTTGACAGTTGATATAATGTAATTAGAGTATTTTAAATTGAGAACATTTTTCATTTGATTATTTCATATATTTTTTCACTTTGAAATGTGTTGATGCATTCGAGGTTTCGATATATTGGGTATATAAATTAATTTTGATCGCTGACAATTAGATGTCGCCACTTAAAATTGTGTGTAGCTTGACAGGTGAATCCAATTGCATTTTGTATATACATGTGACATTTGCCAATCTAATTCAGAGCAGAAACATTTATTTTTGACTCAGTGTCATTATTTTCTGATCGATTCAAAATGAGTGATGAAAAAGTGTTTTTCTGTCTGGCCCTCCTTTGGTTAAATTTTTTCACTTTAAATGAAGTGAAAATACATCTAAAGTAGGGTGTAGCATTTTTCAAACATTTTAACGGCGAGGGTAATAACCTTGGCTATGGGATCCCCTGATCACGAATCAGGCGTTTTTTTGCGAAAAAAATATAAACTGAGATGTCACGGCTCAACGGCGAAGTATCAAAAATGGGAAAAATTTGGATTTTTTTGAATTTTTTTGATTTTTTTGAATTTTTGTGCAAGGCATCAAAATACACTATACTTTCAGTATTGCTTAAATCATCAGAACAGGTCCCAAATAACACATTCTAGTAGAAAAATTCATTCACATTCAAAAATGGATACCTTTACCATGGAACAACATTTCATTGAAAATTTACAAAAATCCTGATATTCAAAACTATTCTTCTGAACACAAATTTATGAATATTGAAGGTTTCCTGATCCGGAATTATCAATAATTGTCTGAAATTAACATGGAAATTAATGTGTGCAAAGTATTCCATGTCATAAATTCATTTTTGGTACCAAATGGAGACATTAAAGAAAAAATACAGAAAAATGAGAAAAATTATAATATTTTCGCCACTTTCTAGAATAAAAAGGCCAACACTCTTCCGCATCTGAACTTTTCATGTATTTTACTCAATTTGTGACGTTGCAGCATCTGATATTTAGTCAAAGTGCAGTATAGTTTACTATCCGAGTGGATCACATTGTCATATCAATGAATGGAATGGGATCCTCTAGGGGATTCCGACTTATTCGAATGTTCCATATGCGAAAGAATTTGTCATATATATTTTGCAAATGGAAACGAATGGTCGCGAATGTTTCATACAAATTTTGCGAATGGTGTCGGATGTTTCATACAAATTTGCGGACGGTGTAGAATGTTTCATACACATTTTGCTGATGGCGCATATGAAAAGTCATATTTTTACATTTAAAAAGTCAAAGTGACAGATTAGGTGACAGAGATTCAAGCCGAATTGATATTTTTTTGGTAATATTGAGTGAAATTTTTCTAAAATGGTAAATAAATCTTTGCCACTCGCAATATAATCACTGTAAACAGTGGCTCGTGAAAGGTTTTTATTTTCATTGACGTAACTTTCAATTTCTTTTATATTTATATTATCTGAATTTATTTCTAAAATCTCACTTTTCGAATCGCATACGGCTTCTAAAATAATATTCAACAAATAATCTTGTATTTTTTTCTTCAACAGTTTTTCAAATTTAGTTGAGAACAATGACATTGTGTTTGAAACTGCCACGACAAACTGAACACAGCAATGTGTATGTACAAATGTCACACGACAGTTTGTCGCATCTCGCAAGACGTATGCGGCATTCGCGATTGGTTGCGAATGAAATGTACGAATTTTCATAGATGTTGATGCGGATGGATATATACTTTACTTCGTATATTTCATGTATGAATAGGAAAATGTTCATACATTCCGTATAAAATGGCATTCGCATATACTAAAATGCCCCTAGGGGATCCTGTACCTCCAAAACTTGAAAGCTCTTGCAGCATTCGCCTTACTGGTTATGATTGTGTCACTTAAATCCCATTATCATCCTGAAAGTGTATATATTCCTTATAAACAGTACGTATACAGACGTTTTGATTGAAAAGAATTGAAAATTGTGATTAAAATGCAAAAAAATTGAATTTTCCACAAAAAAATTGGAAAATTCATTATAAAGACTTGTTTAACTCCACAAAATGTCTTCAAAATTATTGTGCTACCGAATTGTAAGAATTATACAGGCATATCGGATATTTCACGGCAATATGGATGTTTAAAATGCGTAAATACATACCTTTTTTGTATATATACGTATATTTCGATGAGGTCACCACTTGGTACCGAACATGAATTTCTGATATGAATTACTGCTGTGTTAGAAAGCTTAAATATTGCACACATCATTTTCAGACAATTATTGATCATTTCGGATCACAGAACCTTCAATTTACGTTCAGAAATTAATCATTTGAAAATTGGAATTTTTGAGATTTTTCGGATGAATTCGATGAATTGTCACTTCATGGTGAAGGTACCATTTTTTAGCTTTGCATGGATTTTTTTCTTTTGCAATGTGTTATTCGGGTTCTGTTCTGATGATTTAAGCATAAAAATAAACAATACTGAAAGTATAGTGTATTTTTATTCCTTACAAAGAAATTCAAAAAAATTCAAAAAAAATACAAATTTTTACCATTTTTGATATTTCGCCGTTGAGCCGTGACATCTCAGTTTATATTTTTTTTGCAAAAAAACGACCGATTCGTGATCAGGGGATCCCATAGCCAAGGTTATTACCCTCGCCGTATTAGTTTTTCAATTTTTTCATATTTCTGCTACACCCTAATCTAAAGGTTATAAAATGTTGCAGGAGACGAGACCTCTCAATCGCCACAGAGAATGTTGAATTTGGTGAAAAAGAAGTGGTGAATTTGTTGAAAAACTGTGAACTCACCAAAAAAAATTGAATGATGGGCTATTGGCGTTTTTTATTTGATAAAGATGCATGAAAATGCACCAGAAAACATCAGAAGCATTAAATATATGCGAATCAATCGTTTTAAGACATTTGTAATGAGGTAAGACCAAAGAAATTGTGTGCCACACCAGCTGAAACCAAAACTAATTGTAAGACGTTTTTTCACATTTTGGCACAATGTTCCAAAAATAAGAAAAAAAGAAATTTTTGTATCGTATTGTAACTGGAAGTGAAGGGCATCTGCTACGATAATCCCAGGCATAAAAATAAGGGTTCAATCCCACACAATCGTCAAAATCGACAGCATAGCAGGATTTTGATGATTTCTCGGTAATGCTCATTATTTGGTGGGATTAAAGTGGTGTGGTGTATAATGAGCTGCTGAAACCGGGTGAAACAGTCACGGGGGATCGGTATCGAATACAACCAATACGTTTGAGCAGAGTACTGAGAGAAAAATTGAAAAAAATTACGACAAGAAATAGTCGAAGGATTTATCAAAATTTGACATATTTCAAACATCGCAAGAAAAAAGATAGAAGACCTCGGTTGGGATCAGCTTGATCACTCCCCGTACTCTCCAGACCTTGCCCCTTCTGACTACCACTTGTTTCGATCATTGCAAATGGGCTTGTCTGAGATATCGTTTCGAAATCCTGAAGGAGTGCGAAAATGGATCGATGAATGGATAGCGTCAAAAGATGAGGAATTCTTTCGACGGGGAATCGACAAGTTACCAAGAAGATGGGCCGAAGTCGAAACAAATTGTTAGTATTATGAAACATACTACTTCAACATTTGTCTTTTTGTGCCTTAATAATTATTTCAATAACCTAAATAATTACAATTATTGTTATTTTTAAAGACAAATAATAAAATAGATATTTTTCGCGCAAATTAAAATAATATTTTCGCATAATTTTTTTTTAATCGACAATTCAATATGAACAGATGCGACATTTATATGAAATCTGAATACATTATTTCAGTATTTGTTTTATCGTTCTTCAATAATTATTTAAATCAGTAATGTGCGAAGGGGGGGGTTTACCCCCCCCCCC